ATTAGTAAACTACATGTTAACACATGTTAACACATGCTGGACAAACTGTTAAGAAGATGCTGTTTGAGTACGTGTTATAAAAGATTATGGTAAAACGGAGGCAACATTGTTTGGTACACCCCCCGCCCCCCGGCCCCTACATCCCCTCACGTACCATTTGCCATAAATTTTCTGTTTTTAAACTGGGCAGAGAGCAACTTTTGGAGCTACAATAATATCAAGACATACGTTTCTACACTGAGAAGTGAAGCTGAGGACAACCAAAGAATGTATACAATCTACATAGTACACAGGAGACGTAACAAAGAACCACGGGCCATAAACATTAATAGTCTACCAGTTTCACAAGAAGTCAAGTACAGAGCTGCTCAGAGCAGTTATAGTTGCATGTGTTTCACAACAACCTAACAATACATGAATAGTCAATACCATTTCCACGGACCAACCAGCCCTGCATAAACCATGAGCAATAAACCCTCCCCAATTGGGGATATTGTCCACCTAACTTAATTCACGAATATATTCAGGTCACAATCCACAAGTCAATGAAATAAGAATCTGAGCACTGCCCAAACTGGAGTCGAGCTGACTGTACGTCCAGACCGTGCAATTTACAATACTTGAGGGCTAGGATAAGTGTTGGTGGTGCGTGGTGCATAATGGACATGTCCCAGTGACACGAGAAAAGGCTCATTGTAATAATCAAGTATTGTAACGACAATTATTATTAAATACCTGGAGCAGTGAAGATGCGACTCCCTCAGAGAAAATACGCTATTACCGGGTATGCTTATTGCTTTGTTAATTGTTATAATCAGCCGGTTCGATAAATTATACGAATCCTAAGCTGATGACAAGAGTATACAGATTTGATGCATTATTGATACTAACAGGGCGCAGGCGAGACCTTTTTGTGGTAGGATACTGGTACTACATAACATAACTTAACAAATTATTACTAATATTATAGGGATTGTAACTTAATATTTCATCTTGCTGACGTCAACAGAGTCGCTGCTATATAGATTTCGTCTTAATTAGAGATATTCAGACTACCACTCGCAGAGTAAAATTAACTCTGTAATTAATACATGAGGAGGAGGGGAGGGGGAATGGGATGAGGAGGAGAGGGAATGGGAGGAGGAGAGGGAATGGGAGGAGGAGAGGGAATGGGAGGAAGAGAGGGAATGGGAGGAGAGGGAATGGGAGGAGGAGAGGGAATGGGAGGAGGAGAGAGAATGGGAGGAGGAGAGGGAATGGGAGGAGGAGAGGGAATGGGAGGAGGATGAACAAAAGTTATTGCTGACTGCTTCAAGCAAGAGAAAATGATCCTTATAGATGAGTTAAACATAACTTATGACCTTCCTCCAGCAAAACGAGTTTATACAAGTTTGTAATGAACTTTATAACTGTTTCGAAAGCCTAACAAATTACATTAATAATACGCCAGCAACCTTAAACTAAGAATAAAAGGCGAATAACTTTAACAGCTGTCAAGAAAAGTAACAAATCAGCAACTATCAATAATCACGATAGTTAAAACAAGTGTTATTATAATGGACCACTTGTTATCGACTGGTTTAATTCACATGCTGTAAATCGTTAGTCAGATATGCAACACGTTAGGCTCACAGGCACGGGATATGTTCCTAATGGACGACCCACACAGTCGTTACTCAGTATGTTTGTGTGACGTATGTGTGTGTGGTAAACTTATCAACTTATCACAATGGTCTCGGTTTAATAGCTTATGAGTATAAGGCAACTTTTTTTGTTGGAACGTTTACTTTTATTAAAGCATAATCTTTATGCCTTGTAGGATGTGAGATTTAATCAAATAAAACTAAAATGTAGACTAAAAGAAAGAAATTCTATACGTAGATCTGTTTCTTGTGATTCTTATTCAAGCGAAAAAGTGGTTGTTCGCGTCAAGTGGCTGGATCGAGCAGAGGTGGGTATCATTTGAAATGATTTGACTATTGATAATTGAACAACATTCGAGAATATTCTGCATTCATGCACGTCAGATAAATGCAGGTAAAGGCTAACTTATTCTGAATCTAGTTATGCTGGCTTGAATTGCTGAATGGAATGTGTGTGACCATCAACCCGATGAGTCTTCAAATAGTGTCCCAAATAATACAATATACATATTAGAAATTTGTTCGAAATAAATCTCAGGATAGTATCAGTTACGACAAAAAAATGAGTACATGACTGATTCATGATGTGTAGCTCAGAAGGGCTAGGTTAAAATTGACATCACCATTTAAATGTCGACTTGTTAAAATTATGAGCGTGTGGACTGTGGAGTATATTGTAATCTCACTGAAGCCCGCCAAATACTCCAACTACCAATCCCATCAACCACCACTCAGGACCACTCACGATCACTCAGTACCGCTCATGAACACCTGAATCCACTCCTGCACTTGGGACTCATAATTTTGATATTTTCATCAAATCACATCCCCATAATACCTCCTCTGGCCGTGGTCCAGGGCATAATAGCAAGGGTGTCTCCGTCCTCCAACCTCACAAGTCGCCTCGCACAATCGCACTTTACAAAATAATTACAAATCGGCCCTGAAGCCCTCAGGCTTACTTTGACGTTTGTCTTGAATAACGGTTATCAGTTAACACCGATCTTAAACCCGATCTCTTTAGAAAACAACACCTCATTTTATTGGTTAAACCTCTCAACAACTATTTTACCTTTCAGCCTGTCTGATACCTTTTCCATTCACTTTCATACATAACTAACTCTTCAGTCTTCGTGCTGACATTTCTTACGTCACCAAATTAAATTGCTTATGAAACAAAATGATCAAAAATCCAAAAGGCTGAGGTTTGATTGACGAAAGCATTTTCCGGGTCGAATGACTGAGCTATCCTGGTGTTCTCCCACCTCCCAAAATTCAGCAAAATCAAAATTTTGGAGAGGTCAAACATTTATTTCTACAAATGATAAACATCATCTCAAAACCACCATATTATCAAGATAATAGATGTGGATACTGGCGGGGAGGTGATAATTGTTTGTTTACATTAATAGTGAGCACATGTTAAGCAGGCTGAGGAGGTGATAATTGTTTGTTTACATTTCAGGTCGAGCACATGTTAAGCAGGCTGATGAGGTGATACATATTTTGTATTATAGAACGCTTGTAACACTTGTAACGCCTTCTTGTTACCCCCCTTTGAGGGCCCCGAATTATTTTCTGAACGAAAGCTCAAAAATAACCGAGAAATCGACCTTCTTATTAACTCATTTTGATGACCGTTTCTAAATTGCACGAAAAATTTTACTCAGTTAAACGGCGTTAATCAGGAACCAATTATCACCAAACTGACATGCTCTAGGAATTTTCGTCTGTTTCACACGATTTTCATGGTCAGTACTAATCAAGCTATAATTATTGTAATCTACTGACCCCGATAAAATTCGCTTATTCCTGGTAAATGCTCATTAAACCCTCCACTAACGTTTCTTCTCGACTAAACTCCCAAACCTGAACGCATATAAATTCATAAAACGATTAATGACTTTTAAATTCAGCTAACACTACCCCAGGTTCTAGGTTATTAATGATGTAAAGTTTTGTCATGCAAACTCTTACATCTTGATCTCCGAAGTTAGCTTTGATAGCAATTAATTTCACTCTAAATACTTTACCTAATACCTATATAATATATATAGGTATATAATATAGGTATTATTATTATATATACTTCATCCCCATCATACATTTATATGGTTACATTGAGAATTCAAAAATTTCATCTATTTTGTTGTTTACCAAACAACCATGCAATATTATTAGATTTCTAACAATAAATAAATAAAATTGTTCTTTCATTCAGGAGTTTGAAGTATAGATTTAAGAACAAAACGTGAGAAAATTAGGCGATGTTTTGAATTTATAGCTGCGGAAAAGGGACCGGTAAAGTAACGCAATCGATAATTAAATAAATCCGCCTGCGCGGCGTAACAAATACAGCGTAGGGAAGAAACAATAGAAACGTTAATATTCATTAACATCAAACATGGCCATGTTAATGAATATTAATGCATGGGTGGGGCATCAGGCATGATGTTGAATATTGCACTGCTGATTATCATAAACTTTATATTCAGGATAAAATAGGGCTTCGTACTTTATCTAAGATAAGTTATACAAGATAATTACAAGCTGATTAGCTGAAGGAGACCGAATACTGACAAGTGATCGCTACTCCCAATATTTTCACGATATTCTCCTGGTCTGACGAGCAAAGTTAAAGTTATTTTAAAGTAAGCTTATATCCTGACAATTACAACAAACTGGACAAGAATAATACGGGTCCGTTTTGCCGGATTTAAGTGACACAAAAGACACCGGACAGCTATTGGATTATAGCGGTTAAATAACTGAAGCTAACTGATGAATAGCGGACGCCTAAAGAAACACGTTAAGATGGAGCATGTATTACTAGCGGATAATGATATAAGTGGACATAGTCAGTGGTGTTCACAAAGACTAACAAACAAGTTTATAGAGGCTAAGAGGCCGGTTAGTTCAAGTGATTATGTCCCCGGATGGCACAAAACCTTAGTAGTGTCATCTGGGGTAACTGGGAAAGTTAGAAAATATTCAGTCAGCATAGACTGAGTTTAAATGTTTAAAGTTTCAAGTTGTGACACAGAAAAAATGTCACTTCTTTAATATTTGTAAGATGCGGGCAATTATGTCTAGTCAGATTTATTTCGAAGTTAATTATATGCAACAGTGATATCAATTAAGGTGTGCTTTTCACAGACAGTAAGATCACGGATGAAGCTTTTGCAAATTTAATTTTAACTCTGGTAATAATAATCACAATCTACAACTGATAATTGCTTGCAAATATGTCAGCATTCAGACGAAAACAATCTAACAACTTTCTCTCATCTCCGCGGGGTTTTCCCATGGCAACAATTAAACTTATTCGCAACTTCACACAACAGTTTAAAAACTCACGGTTATGTCTTGGTCGACGTTTTTCCTGGTCTCCTCATCCAAAGCTCCGGGTTTGAGCAGCGAGGTAGCTACACGGAGTAACTTGCTCTTTGGGTACACCTCACTCAGCCTCTGTTCACACCTACTCTCCAGGTCCTGCCACCGACCTTCCTTGCCCGACCTGACGGAGATACAGTGTTTATGTGACAGTGTCCAGTGGGGTACAAGGGTACATTGTGCAGTTTACATCTTGGTTTAAATCAACGCTAGAGTGTTAATAAGACTTAAAATCATTGATAGTAAGCTCCGCTTGCAGCCTGATTCATTTTGTTATTAGTAAGAAACCATAACTAAACCCTAAATGACGACATGGTCTAGTGAAATGAGAAAATGGCTGACAACCAAACAAACCTGAGAACTTTAAGAATCTGCTCCAACTCCTTGCCGCTGGTGCAATTGTTGATATAGGTGTAATCCAGGTGCTCCACCGGCACCTCAGATTTATCTGCTGCCGGCGAGGGCCCACCTCCTAGCGCTTGTGCTAGATTTGCGGTCGCTGCCATCCTAAATAAACAGGTTGTATTTAAAAAATGTTTTAAGATTCATTTTGTAATTTAGAAAATCAAATTTGTCTCAGGAAAAATTAAAAGTTTTCGAAGAAATCACAAAAGTCACAAAACATCATGTCTTGAAATATTTTTTAATCGGAATTCGGAAGCGAATGAGACGAAGAGAGTTGATTATTAGGATTATTTTGTAAAATCAAAGATGGTATTCACCCTTCCTTGACACATTTAGAATAAAACATGATGATAAATAGAGTATCAAGATTAATAATTAAAAACAGTTATTTGGTCGAAAAATAATAATCTTAAAATAAAAAGCCACCGCTGATTTCGAATTGAAAGAAAATTTCGCAGACTATTGAATGTTGCTATTCGAGTAGAGGCGATGAACGTTAATGTATGATAATACGTATGACACCTGATCTCACGTATTTCACCAAAAACGGTATGAGTATGTCCACTAGAGAGTTGGGTGCCCTAACTTAAGGAAAGCCACCCAACCACACTAGGCCCACTCCCCATGTAGCAGATCATCTAAGGAAGGGCTGACCAGCAGCCCAGGAAAAATTGCTAGAGCTCTCTAATGAAAGATCGCAATAGCGGGATATTGGGATTAGTTTTCAACTAGCAATAACCACGTCTCGGTTGGACCTCATTGACTATGGTAATGCCACTGCGCAAAGCTAAAATTTGTGGTCTCTTAATTCTTATATAAATGCTGGCATAAAATATTTCCTTGTGTTTGATATTTAATACTTAAATTTATCCGAACAAATGTCTAACATCAATCAAAACATCTAACATTACATTATGCGTAGTGCTTTGTTTATATCGAGGATTCAGGACTTATTTGATTTAATCGCGGTAAGGCGAAACTAGTATTTTTAAACGACTTAGAACAACTAATGATATAACTTATGTGAGTAGCTGTCAGCAGTCATAGACCATAGCATGACTTACCGTAACTCATTATCTTATCAGTAGCAACATCCAACGAAAACATAATTGACAATTTTCTTGGTTTTGGTAATTCGAGCCGTGGATAATTCTAACAGCAACATGTCCTGATCCATAAGAATAAATACGAATAATAAAAACGTTTAAATTAAGCCCATTAAAATTCTTCAGCTTGTTTCTCTTTCTGTTCTTTCTTTCTGGCTCCAATATTCAAGCCTTAAACAGAATAGCTATATAGGGGGTCTTCGAAGCTAATGGAAGTTTAAGGAAAATTCAACTAAAAGATTCACACTGATACGTCATTTCTTGTCGTCTTTCATTTCCTCGTATTCAGGTAAGGAATAGCCACGCTCGACTATCTTGCAAGCCTCACGGATACCACTGAGGTAAGCTCCAGTAACAGTTTGTGGGAAGCGTCTGTTCGTTGCCTCTCCGGCAAAGAATACCTGTAGGATCGGTTTGTACAATACAGTTTGAATCCACGGTATGTGTCTCAAAGATAAAAAACTCTTCTATTCCAATTCTGTTTATTCTCAAACTCCTGATACGACGATCAAGCTAGTAAAGAGTTTGATTGTTAAAAAATCACAGATTCTAATTATTCTAACAAAACTATGTTGTAATTACGCATGATAAAACGAAATATCCAGACAAACCTTCTCCTCGACATCAGCAGCCAGGTGATCGTAGTCTTTACCGCTGCTGCCTATAGCCATGTAGCTGTAACTCATCAGAGAGAACCGGTCCCTGCCCCAACTTGTCACCCAGAAATCTTCCGGGTCTGGAACGTCCTGTAAAGATTTAGCGGGTTTAGTCATTAGTGGATTTAGCGGGTTTAGTGGTTATGTAATATGTAAAGTAGGGAAAGTAGTACTGTTATCAAGGTTTATTAGGAAGTGATGGAAATGAACTAGTCATTAGATTTGGTAACATAACTTGGATTACCTGAGATTTACACCGTTATATAATTTGAAAATATTTTATTTCAGTTTAGACTTCACTACAACGTTAATTTCCAAGAACAAGCAGGTCTGAAGAAGAAATCTGACTCCATTATCAGTAGCACCATAAAATGAACGTTATCATAATTTTATCAGCATCCAACAGCATAAACATTTTACTTTATTAACATTGCACAGCATGGGACACCTCCACAACTAGCTTTGTTTGTCGTCAATAATACTGATCGCTAATACTTTTTACAAAATTTCGTTATTTGAATTTATAACTTTGATAGGAAGATGACTGCTAGGATAAAGGACTTCAACTCCGACTTCACAAAATTCCTAGATGGGAGGGTTCGACACACGGTAAAAATTGTAACAAAATCAGAGATAATTGAATGCAGTGGAGTTATCTTATCTCAACACAGTGAAGTTATGAAGAGAATGATAGAGGATGACGAAGAAATCTTCCTGGATAACTACAACTTTGTTAGAGAATGTCTGGTGATTCTTCATGGAGGAACGGTAGAACTCACAGAGGAAAACTGCGAGGAAATAATCAAGTTTGGAATTCAGTTTAGCGTACGTAATGTTATAGATCAAGGACTCGAATTTTTGGCGTCAAAAGTGTCTGTAGAAAATGTGAGAAATTCAGCAAGAATTTGTTGGTCTGCTAAAAAGTTCGCCACATTTTGCGATTTTAACGCTAACATCGACTATTTTTGGCCACTAGAAGACATCGTGAACAAGCTATCAATAACAGAATTGGAAGAATTTGTGGTGGAAATACGTTCTACAATGGGCATCGTGGCAATCCTAGAGATGGTCACCAACGAGGTTCTAGCAAAGAAACTTTTGAACAGTCTTACTACTATAGTAGAGCAATGGAACGTTGATGAAATACTGGGAACATTTCCGACAGCGCAACAGTACGATTATCAGAACACATTCGTAGAAGCTCTTTCTGGCTGCCCGCAAGAAGACGTGTTGAACTTTTTAGATAAAATCGAGGCTTCAGAACTACTTTCCAAACAATGGATAGTTTTTAAAGACCTAAAGAAATGCGTGCTGAAGGAATCAGTACCAAGAGAACTTAATCTAGTTGCTGATGCACATGTTTTATTAAAAACTTGGAAAGAGTTAAGCGAGGACAAAATTCTACATGTTTGCTAAGTCCTTAAAACCGAATTTTACGTTATGGAAATAATAATGTCCTGGGTTGCGCTGAAGAGACCAGATTTAAAAACAGTTAGGCACCTCTGTTATCTGGTAGATACTGATGAGCTAACAAAAGGATATTTGGAGCATGCTGACTGCTGAGAATGTACTGAAGAGTGAGGGATATACGGTATCATTCAACGGTGGACGCTCCAGAGATTTTTCTAAGATATTTAAAATTCCTCAAACTATAATAATCAGTGCAAATAGCAATATAGTTCAACATAGAACGTTAAGTAAAATGTCGACGTTAAGTAAAATGTCGACGTTAAGTAAAATGTCGAGGGGAAGATACCCCAGTCGTGTATATATTGACATTACGATCAATGCGTTTGCACAACACGGCAGCCGGATCATTAGTAGCGACGGTCGAACAGTAGAAGCACTGTTTGGTCGAACTATGGAGGGTAAGCAAATACCTTTCTATACTGATACACACAGAGCTGTGCATGAGGATATGGTATACAATGCGAGCACCCTGTGCGCTTATTCTACTTTATGAGGACGTATTATACCGTGAATTGATCAAAAAGAGATAATACAATGACACTTTTTCAATACATGATAGTGAACTGTGTTTCATATTCGTGATTGGGATAAATAGATTTTAAGTTTAAACGTTTGAGTGTCTTACTCTTATTGACTCATGTTGCCTCCATATGGGTTAGTGACTTACATCGAAGATGTTTCGTCATCTTCAGTCAGCTCGTAAAGTTTACAAATGTACGTTTATATTTTTTACAATTTAAGCTCAATTTTATGTTTATTTTCTTCATTCTGATGATACAGTGCATTATTGTGTAAAGAAATGGAAAAAATAGAACTTTTGTAAGCCCCTGCACTATGATTGATATTTGTGATAGAAGTTACCGTCATATTTTTAATTTTTAACAGAACGATAACATATTTCGCTGGATTGTACAACTTTCGTCTTGGTAGATTCCAAACACAAGGAAATTTTCCTTTTGGTTGGTAATATACTCAATGATGGAAGTATAGTGTATTGGCTATGCCCCGCGCGCTTACTAGTTTAGCTCTTTCTAGTCCCCTGCTACACGGCATATAGCATGTAAACAGGGATTGGCTAGTTAGAGGCGGTCCGTGTAGGCCTTACACTGTGCTTTCAGCAATACTCACTCATATAATTACAATTATTCCCTCTACTCGTATCGCACCGGAAATTATCGAAATTTCAGATAAACTAAATAAAACACTGTCTGCATATCGTGGCTTGTAAAAATTAATCTATAAATTACGTCTCTAACTTACGTCGAACATGTTTCGGAGCAGCTGGAGACAGCTCTTCAGGACGTTGAGATCTGATGTGTTGTTTCTGAATTCCAGGGCTTCCCCTGTCACAATGCTCATCAACACATAGGGTCCTTCTTTAACCTGTGGACATTCAGACCTTGTTAAAACAAGCAATCTGGTATCTAAAACTACGATTATTATTTTCAATCTTATCAAGAAAACTTTAGCTGTATTTTTGAAACATCAAAATGAAGGTTACTGCATTGTTTGACATGAGGTTATTATGGAAAATCACCACGAACCTCTGTATTCATATCATAGAAAATAGCAAATAATCCTCTATGTTCCTCGCTACTAGGCACATGTCCGAAGAAGTCTGCTCCTTTAATTTTACTCTGCCAAAACTTCTTGGTGAATTTCATAGCAATCTGCGAATAGTTATGTGTTAATGAACAAGCGAATTGTACAGATAACATGCATAACTAAGGAAGGATTTTTAGAGTTTTAGGCTGTAACAGTACCAGTTACCACAGAACGCTCATAGAAATTTCTGGGCGAAAAATTTGTCACATCCATAACCGCCGCCAAGTGAAAAGACGCGCATAGGCGCGGCTGCGCGCCGCTACACTACCTGATAACAATGAAACACTTTAGCCACACCGCCTTAAAGTTGATACGCTGAAATTTTGTGCTTTTTTGGCGCTGCGCTCTAATGGTACTTCTTCACTTTAGAATGGGCTCATTGGCCGGCATAACACGTGGTGAACGTAGGGGCAGGTTTGAAAGTCATGGCAGATATGTACCTTTTCAATACACCCAGCACCAATCCGGTTGATACAATGTTGTTTCCAATCTGGGAGAGGTGGTTTGAATGATACAACCTCTTTCTTGAGGACAGCTAGTGGCAGAGTAACTATTACCTGTGAGGGACAGTTTGTTTATCAAATGTATGGATTATTTATGATGTTTAGGAGAATATGATTGTGCACACTGCAGAGTAGTCAAAATCACAGATTTGGAGCGAACCGTATGCAATGAAATAACGAAATAAGAGCAAAACTTCGTTGACCTGTATATAATATATATTATCGAATATGACTGTAAATTGTGATAGTGTTTACCTTGTCAGCTAAATATTCATCCTTAGGAGTTTTCACTAATACTTTGTCACCAGTATAATCTATCCTCGTAACCTGAATTCCATTCGTAAGCAATCAGTTACGGCTCAAGGTGCTCAGCAATGCTACATATTCTTTAACGGATAACCGTTGGATAAAATCTGGACATACTCACCATCAAAATACTCACTATCTATATACACATTGTTATATAATATTATTTAAAAACGTTGTTTCTACATTTTAGTGACTTACCTCTTCAGAGAGTTGAATGTCGAGCCCTTCAGCAAGAGCATCAGCTAAGAGGCTGTATCCTTTGTAGAGGAAAGCGTGGTCACCAGTGAACTGAGAGTATTCCTCGTTCTGGTCCCACCACATTGCTGAAACCTGGCAATGGCGCGCGGATTTAGTTTTCTACATTAAATCACAGCTTTACCAGCTCAATTAAACGGATATTTGATGAAATTCCCCCCCCCCCCCCCCCCTGATAGACCTCGTTTATAAAACTTAGAACACATTTCAGAAAATCTCCCTAACCTTAGCAATAGGAGCTCCACAAGCGTACTCCAGATTACTAAGATGAAACTGTAGCAACCTCTTCTCGTCCTCACTGAATACTTGTCTGTTTTGTGACATTGACAGTTTGTGAAGTTCCATCAACTTGTCTTCTAGGGACATCCTATGGGAGATACTGTCATAATTGTATAAAATTGACAGATTAATTTAATGTTAGGCAGCTCCGAACCTATTCCCCTCCTCTTAATCGCCTTTAATCATATGAAATTCCATTTTATGAAAAAATGTTCAGTGCAATACAAAAATCATCGACATATTCTAAATTTAACAATAAATCTAGCATCATTTCAACAGCAAAGTTAGAGATCAAAAACCCAGAAATCTAACCTGTTACAATTCTCGCCCTTCTCACTGTCCCTATTTTCAACATTCTTAGCCTTAGCCAAATTCAACCTCTCCAACTTCCACTCGGCTACAGCATCGAGCAGAGCGTTAAAATGAAAGTCAGTCCTCCGGTCGTGGTCGGGTGCTGCCGGACATCCGTTCTCTTCGAACAGCTCGCATCCGTTATCTCTGATCACGTGTAGCGGGATGTCAAGCTGTGGGCCGTGTTTAGTGTGATGGTCATGAGGCTACATCTCTATTTTATAAATATGTCAGTCTACAATCTACAATCTACAATCTACAATCTACAATCTACAATCTACAATCTACATTCAACATTGAACATAACGCTTCTCATAGTATGAATTTTATAGAGTATTTACTATCATATATGGAATAATTGCATGGATTGATCTCAACTCTCAAATAAACAAATATGCCTTATCTCCCCACCAGAATCCACATCTGTAACTAACAATAAATTTGAAAAAGGAGCTAACTAACCTGTTTGCACATGAGGGTGGCAGGATTGTTGATACATCCTGTAATAATCTGCGCTCCTTTAGCTACACACGTCCCCAGAGACTGATCATCCCATATCCTCCCACCTACTCGGTCTCTACCCTCGAATATCTTCACTTTATACCTGGTGAAGGTCGTGTCAGTGAACTAATCTTGACAATCAAGCAAGCACGAGAATACACACACGTGAATAAAACGGAAGCTGGTAGTGGTGTAATCTGTACACGATAATCATTTTCCAATTAATCAATTACCCACACACACACGTCACACAGCCAGTCTACCTACCCGAACATAGTGAGCTGTCTAGCAGCAGCCAGCCCGGAGATCCCAGCCCCCACTACTAGTATCTCAGGTTTACGTTTGGGTGTGATGATGAGGAGGTCAGGGTTAATGTTGAGGGGGAGGATGCCAGTGTTGATGATACCTCGCTGGGTAAGGAAGGAGAGGACTCTCAGTGCTTCTAGACTGTACCTGGAAGAGGGAACCGGTTGGAAATGTTCAGTGGAGAGTGAGGGATGGTATTTTAATCTATATTGAGTATAATTTCTTACGTTATTGTATTTCATCATTAGGTCCGGAAGGAACAATAATATTATGTACTATACTAATAATTTATACTATACTTAGTACTTACACAGATTCAACAGTTTACTTCGTAGTTTAAACTTTTAAAATGTCAGATCTTACCTGATTCTGACCATGCCTCGTACAATAACTGCTTTCTCAACGTCTGCTACTGTCAGGTGCTCTTTAGGGTTGATGTTCCACAGTGCTAGAATCAGATTCCTTAGCGCCAGATAAAATACTTGAAACCTGAGGTGATCTCGTGAAAATACGTGAATTTCAAATCAGTGAAAGGGACTTTGAAAAACTCGAGATCCCTCATCACTGCTTAAACAAAACCATCGTCCATGATTCAACTGAATGAATATAGTTGTAGGGAGTTATGGTGATTGTGATGTTTGATCAAGCGACATGTCCGTATAAAGTAGTAATTTTGACAGCTACCGTTTGAACTCTGGGAAGGTCCTCTCCTCATCCATTTCCATAATGTCAGGTCTAAAACAGAGAGCTTTACCCTGCTGGCCAGGCTGGTTAAACGGCTTGAAGTTGGAGTCCAGCGGTCCATCTAGCACAACTGGGAGATAAAATGGTGAACATTTCTAGGCAAGGAAATATTATGGACGGTACGAAATATCATAGATATTAAGATTTCTTTACACAATTTCATTTATCCAAAAAAGTATCATATTTAAGTATTTTGTCAGTTTGTCTAACCAGGTTCAGCCAGTAATTCCTCGGAGTCATGACCGTTCCTCTTGGGCTGCTGGTACATACTGGCACTCATACCCACACCATCACTAAAACAAACTACCATCAAACTTCATGGTATAGTGGTCAAATATATTAATCCTTACATGTTACAGGTTGTAAACAAACCCACAAGTCATAACTCGTCTTACAGCTTATTTTGGCGTATAGTAAGTAAGAAAGCTACATTAAGAATTATCTAAGCAAGTTATTTTTCCTCTATAATAAACTGTACGTCTGGAACATACCTGTAATAGTGAACAAGGAATGGTTCAGCAGGGGAGTTCTTGATAAGGGGTGGAACCCCCAACCTCTCCAGCCAGCCTGAACCACTGACTAGCTTTACTTGGGGCTCTTCTTCTGAGCTACAGCTACCTCCCTGAAACATTAGTTGTAGGTCAAACTTTGGGTTATATATTAATAAGGAACTTAAATCAGTGACAATACTATTACCACCTATCTAGAGGTGCCCTTAAAACCAAATTAACAGTTTTCTTGGTATAAGGGGATATAATTTCTATAATTTACCTTATTTTCAGAACAAGTCCAAGTATCTTGGGGTGTTTCTACTAGTTTCTTATCCTGATCTAATTTTCTCCATTTCCTGCACTCACTGCATCTGATCCAGTATGGTAGTACCTGATCAAGTAATTAGTAAATGTATTAGTCAGTGCATATATATATTATATACATAAAATTATAATGGTCCAAGAAAACGCTGCAAACCATAACAATTAATATGCTAATTCGACATGAATGGTGACTGGTGGACCAGTATCTCAATACAAAATATCGTAGTGTACTGTGTATGAGTGTACTATTGTCCACTACTGTATTATGATTTACAGAGAGTAAAGACCTATTAAGATATCGTTAAGTAATGAATACACAGACGAACCTCCTCTGTAAAGTAGAGTTTAACTCCAGGTTCGCACTGACTATTAACTTGCCATCTCAACTTCCAATTAAAATAGTTTGTATAACCTTTCTTCTGAGGGCTGCAAATTATAAACATGTTACTTTCAAATTATACCTGGAATTTCAAGTATGTTCTGGTAAACTCGAATCCGAAACTCGAAACTCGAAGTTTTGGAGGATTGAGGTCACAGGTGTGAAAATTGAACATATACACACCGTAATCATGCTAGGATCATTTTAACAAGGCTGAAAGATTATGAAATTCTCGAATATTCCTAATTCATCACAGCACAAATTTTTCGTTACATTATTGATTGAGTCTCAATTGTGTTCAGCTGTGAGCAATTTGATTCTATTCTATTCTGGAAAACAATCATATGTGTTTGTTTGTTTGTTTGTTTATAGAACCCGTCCCCAATCTCGTATTGGAAAATGACTAAACTCAGGTCTGAGTGTGAATACGGGTGGTACCTGCAAGAGTGTTCATTAAGCATTTAGAGTTCTGTAAAACTGCAGTTACAATTGTGCTAGAGTATTTTTAGTATATACGATTGGTATCAGAAATATATCCCTACATGCTTCCAAAATTTGTAAAGCCGTAGTACATACATATCACATTACACCAGAGCCTACACAGTGCAATCTCCTCCAGTCTATCTGCGCCGCGTATATTTGTATAAGCACACGGCGCAGACTGGAAAAAACCACACTCTGCAAGTTCAATCCAGTGCAATGCTACATGTACGTACTACGGCTTCATCTCCAACTTTCTGCACAATGTACTGGAATGTTTTGAAGGAAAAGAAAGAACAAAAAAAGTGATATATATAAATAAAATCAGCGATTTAATGTTAGCCTTAGGACAGTAACTTTAATTCCCTGGTTTCTAAAATCAGCTTTAAAAAAAAAATAATAATAAAGTATGTAACGTCGATACCAAACCGATTATTGAGCGATAATAACTGAGTAGTTGATTCCTGGGTTGCAGAGTCATTCAGATGTTCCAGTCTTCGAATGTGGTTCTTGTTCAGTTCTTGACCAGAAGTGTCTAATGAAGTAAGTCAGACAAGCAAACTCTTCCTTAAATGCTCATATAAGTCGTCTCAATCCCAGAAATTATGAATGATGACCCAGTGTAAAAGTGCAGAAATCGGCCGAAAATAACAAAGACTAAAAACAGTTAAAAAGTGAAAGGATTCAAACACAAGGAAAATTAATAACTTAGAGCGTAAAAAGGAATATCTCCAAACGGAGTTTTCTGAGAGGGTGAGAGGTTCTTTAATTAGAGCTAATGAGTAAATGAGACCCACTAAAGGTACTAAAATTTAGTACCTTAATTTAGTCTAAATTAACCGGACTGCTAGCAAGGAATCGAGAGTGGGAATAAAACTAAAAGCGGAATAAATTTTAAGATAATGAAACAGAAACTGAAAGCTAAAATATATACCGTTCTAGAATGCCTCCGCAAACTATTGCTCCTTTGTAATGTGCACGTGTTAGTAAGTGTAGTAAAAAGATAAAAATAATAAAGCTATACAAATGAACGGAGCGGTGAAAATCTGAGAGGGTGAGAGGTTCTTTAATTAGAGCTAATGATTAAATGAGACCCACTAAAGGTACTAAAATTTAGTACCTTAATTTAGTCTAAATTAACCGGACTGCTAGCAAGGAATCGAGAGTGGGAATAAAACTAAAAGCGGAATAAATTTTAAGATAATGAAACAGAAACTGAAAGCTAAAATATATACCGTTCTAGAATGCCTCCGCAAACTATTGCTCCTTTGTAATGTGCACGTGTTAGTAAGTGTAGTAAAAAGATAAAAATAATAAAGCTATACAAATGAACGGAGCGGTGAAAATCTGAGAGGGTGAGAGGTTCTTTAATTAGAGCTAATGATTAAATGAGACCCACTAAAGGTACTAAAATTTAGTACCTTAATTTAGTCTAAATTAACCGGACTGCTAGCAAGGAATCGAGAGTGGGAATAAAACTAAAAGCGGAATAAATTTTAAGATAATGAAACAGAAACTGAAAGCTAAAATATATACCGTTCTAGAATGCCTCCGCAAACTATTGCTCCTTTGTAATGTGCACGTGTTAGTAAGTGTAGTAAAAAGATAAAAATAATAAAGCTATACAAATGAACGGAGCGGTGAAAATCTGAGAGGGTGAGAGGTTCTTTAATTAGAGCTAATGAGTAAATGAGACCCACTAAAGGTACTAAAATTTAGTACCTTAATTTAGTCTAAATTAACCGGACTGCTAGCAAGGAATCGAGAGTGGGAATAAAACTAAAAGCGGAATAAATTTTAAGATCAACAATCATATGTACCGGTAGAAGTATTCGAAGCAGGAATTACAGAAATGTTCGGTATCTGACACGTGATACCAGCGTGCGCTCTTAGTACTGACACTGCATGCTACACTAGAGAAACATTCCACACCGGGGGATTTGCAGTTCCCTAAGGGGGGAGATAAGGTGTTAGTTACTGAGGAAGATAAGGTGTTAGTTACTGAGGAAGATAAGGTGTTAGTTACTGAGGAAGATAAGGTGTTACTAAGTGAGGAAGATAAGGTGTTATTTACTGAGGAAGATAAGGTGTTAGTTACTGAGGAAGATAAGGTGTTAGTTACTGAGGAAGATAAGGTGTTAGTTACTGAGGAAGATAAGGTGTTACTAAGTGAGGAAGATAAGGTGTTAGTTACTGAGGAAGATAAGGTGTTATTTACTGAGGAAGATAAGGTGTTAGTTAGTGAGGAAGATAAGGTGTTACGTACTGAGGAAGATAAGGTGTTGGTTACTGAGGAAGATAAGGTGTTAGTTACTGAGGAAGATAATGTAGCTACTCAGAATAACGTGGCTACTACATAGTACATTATCAGGCTACACAGTTTTGGGAGAGTTATGATTGCTATGCAACAGAGAATAATGTGAGAATTACCTTTTCGTCAGAGTACCTGATTACCAGAGTATAAAGACATAAAAATTAAGACAGAACTGTGTAAACAATAAATACAGCATCTAGATTCTAGAACTAACCTCGACCACAGGAATCTAACTTGTCTGCACCTCCTTTGTCAATCAGGTGACGTTTCCTTTTATTGGGCTTTAGATCTTGCATTCTATAATGAGGTGATTTCTTGGTGATATCAATAAACAATCTTGAGAAACGGTACATAATGAAAATACTGGAAGTTTCCCCACTTTTGATAGAAAAAAAAATCTGTTGAAATGTTATCCTCATAGACATAGTCCAGTTACCTGATTCATTGTTATAGGTCTAAATATTTCAATCTACGGAATTTGTCAAATTGCAACATTTTGTCGGAATAAATTTAAACTAGACCGGAATATCCAAAACAGTATAATTCTAATTACCAAGATGTCAACGCATCTGTTCATGGTATGTGTCGACCACCACAGTAGTGACAACAGTTAACTGCAGTGCTCCATACCATCGCAGCTTTTGTTTGATCGCCTACTCTTATTCAGACCGTTATTTGACTGGACCAGATTTATTTATTGTCCTCTGGTAAAATATTTTCCACCGTTTTGGTCGTTTTCAAGATTATCCGATCCTGGTCAATGTCAGTACTTAATAACAAGGCAGTTGATTGATTGAAGTTCGATAAAAATCCATCAAGAAATTAAGGCTATAATTATAGCTGACTATTGTTGTTTTGTCATCAATATTTTGCATTTCTCAGATGAATGACAAAAATTTAAAATACAAGGAACAACTTTTCGCGTTTTGGCCATCGTGATTATCCATTTAAACTCCGACTCAAACTAGACAGGTTCAACTATGCCACAATAATTTACATATTGAGATAAATTTTTAATCCCATATTACATATTAGGTATACTAACAGAGGGTGATGAGAAGGATGATGAAAAGGATGAAAATGATGAGCTGCAGGGAGTTCCAAAAGTACTTACCCCAACCGCCCCTGATCCTAGCCAGTCTCTTAGCACAGATGACAATTGAACACGTGACATTATGGTACGAGTGTTACATACCACTGATATGTGGCCCCTGCCAGCTGATATGGGCCCAGTTCTTAGCCCTATCCGTTCTCATGACCATTTTGTCAGTTGTCAAAACCTCTAAATATTACAAAGTTGGTAGAGCGGCCCTGACTTTCATTGGATCACTGATTCTAAACATGAGTGCTGCAATTGATACTACGGTAGCAATGATGAGTTGTTATAGTAAGTACTACTACTATTTCACCCCTCTAGTGTACACTGCAACTGTGGTTCTTGGTTTGGCTGCTGTACTTGTTACAATGATCTTCCTGTGGAAATCACCAAAAGAACCCCGGCAAAATCCCCGGTTTTTGTCCCATCTCCCAGATTCAGAGGTCTTACTAGCGGGAGTGTGCATACAATATGCATTCGAGTGGCTAGGCTACTTTGTAATAACATGGTCTGGTGATAGCCAGTGTTACGCCAACTGGATCGTGTTGCTAGCCATCTCATACATGCTCACTGGCATTGAAGTCTGGAAATCTACAGCACCATATAAGGTCTCCCGCGGTATCCTGACCTTTGCTGGCTCCTTCAGTTTGAATTTGTGTTCTGGTGAGATGGGCCACGATTCATTCCAAAGTTGCATACTTTCGGAGAAATCCCCAGAGATGTCCTTTATTAGAGCCATGTTTACAGCTGTCACTGCTGTGGGGGCGGTGGTGGTGACCATTATTTTCCTGATCAGACGCGAGCCCACTGAGACAACAGTTAGATGCGGGAAATGTGAAGTTCCGTAACTTGTCATTTATCATTTACCGCAAGTTTTTGCTAGCATTATCTCATAAATTTTGCCGTTCAAATCATTCTTCTATTCTTTAAATTTTTAGACATTTTGTGACTTAGTTCACTAGCTACGACTTGGGACATTTTGGGACCGGAATCGGTATATTCTGGGACTGTAGTTTAAGGACATTTTGGGACCGAAGCTTTCGTCAAAGAATTCCACTGACCTGATGACTATTTTAGTTTGTCTCTTTTAGCTACTGATCACGATTTCTAGTATAGTTATCTTATCAACTTAATATTTTTTCATTTAAAATTTCATATTCTTTAATGAGCTGCATTAACAGTTTTTTGTACATTTAGACTACCTTAGGGCCAATAAATTTGGTTCACAATAAGTTTGGTTACCATAATTTTGGTTACCATAATTTTAGTCACAAATTTCGCAAATTTTTAGTCTACAACAATTTTAGTCACATTTTTTGACTTTTCGAGACCATTTTCCATTCCATTTACCTTAAGAACGACAAATTTAGTCTACCCCGCGCAGTCTGAGCATTACAGATTAAGCTGCAATTCGTTACTCAGGAATTTCAATAACATCAGATCCAGAGTTTGTGACTCTGTATCACTACGTTCTTCAGTACACTGTTCAGTTTCTTTTTCAGCCTTTTTCGACGTTACCATTTTTGTCGGAACGACGTAGTTTATGTCGATATGATCCTTCAGCCGTTTCAACAGAGCATGTATTGGGATGGATCGATTAAAAATGTAATGTCCAAGAGGAGCTCTAACCCTATAAATGCAATAGGAATTTGGTACGGTTTTGTGCAGTAGGAACGGTGATGTCATATATTAATTATAAACAATGTTAGCTTAATAATATTCATGTCATACTTGCTCTACTGAAATTTTGGTCTGCTTTAAAATTAGTCGCCGAAAAATTTAGTCTCATGAAATTTGGTTTACAACAATTTTAGTCAAAAGTTTGACTAAATTTATGGTAGACTAAATTTGTCGTTCTTAAGGTAATGTTATTAAAAAAGCCGATTTACAATGTTCTCAAAAAGGCCGATTTAGGCCACATATAAGGTCAGTTTACCATTTTGTACGGTGCTTGGTCACAAAAAAACATTTGCAGATAACCTAAGAGTAACGTAAAGATAAATTTAGCTTCACTTTGGTATAATTGTAATGAAGAAAAATTACGATGAAATTGTTTCCAATTCCAGACTTACTAAAGTAAAACTCGTTATGAATTCTTTAAAAGATGGTTTAAATGATCATGTCTTTATAATTACAATCTGAAATACAGTATAATACAATTAAATTCATGCGATGTGATCGAATAATAATGATATCAAGAGACAAAAGAGAAAATAAAATGAATAGCAATCATCATTTTAATATAATAACAAAAAACTCTACATTCTGTTTAACTAATCAATTAGTGTCTCGTTTCGTGTAATATAGCGATATTAATGAAGTGCAACGTCTTTAGCCTTTGAAGCAAACGCTTGTCTAATGTCTATATAATTAGTATAAGCAATATGTTTAAACTTTTAAAACTATTTCAAAATGTGTATCTACTATCTGGGCTTATTTTTGTATAAATCTCATGATATAAATACTAGTAAATAGTGTGTGTATTGTGTAATGATACAATTGATGTGAAATTTTGTGTTTTAGTAGGGACTAGTACAATGAAATTTAAATAATTAAATAGAGTCCTTTATAAAATAATTAGAAAAATTGAAATTAAATATTATGTACAATTAAACAGATGGCGATCTTTAAATTATTCTCAAGCATATAATTATAATTTAGTTATCTCCATAGAATTCATCTCTATATTTCAGTTGAAAAACGTATGGATCGATGTAATCATTCATCCTTTACTCATTTATCAATTGTTCAATGTTCATCTTAGATATTCTATATTATCATCTCTCATTTCAAAAACATATTGATTTAAACTGTGCAAATTTTGCAAATAATCAAAAAAATAAAAAGCACCTCAAACCCATCGTTCATCAAAGCATCCTCCTGCCTCAATTGTCTCTAGTCGGAGTCTAGAAGTCCATTCATCTCCAGTGGTCGTGTATTGATGACATGATTCGCTCGCCGAGAGTAGTATCCGTTCATAATGAGAGCTATAACTAACATGAGTAAAACAACACCAATAAACGTCCAGCTGAAAGAATAGTGTAATTTAAGATTAAAATGGGATGAAAATGACATTTTTATCGTTACTCTTAATATACTGATAGACATTGATTTAAATAGCCACAACAGTATGTACCAAGCGATGAAACTTGATTGTTTACAAACAAAAATAAGAAAGGGCAAGTCTCAGCTTACCAAAAGAACACGTCAGCTAACATGGCATGAGCAGCATTGTCTAACTTCCACAGCGTATCCGGAAATGGTGAGTAGATAATAAACCCAACCTAGGATGAAAGTAGATTATAATGCGGATATCGCAGCAACGTGCTAAATTAATTCAAACGCATCATGATTCAGGAAGCATTTAAATAAACTGTTTTCAAAATTTAAACACAAAAAATGACAATTATTTGCCAAGTATTTGACACGTATTCCATTAACAGTTTCCTGCAATGTGTGGCAAAACGTGACCCCACTCTCCCGCTAATTCCCTCACCTCACAGAACCAGATACCGTGTAAGACCAAGAGACAGCTGTAAAGAACAGATGCAATGATAGAGGAGGGGTTGTAAAGCAGGTATACGAGGGTACCGGATACTGCCACTCCACTGTAGGTTATCAACAAGTGGCACTGAAAAAAAGGAGGATTATGAGCTAGACAGTGGTTATCTTCATTTGTTTCACACCCTCAAAATGTAAGCACATCTGCAGTCTGCACATTATAACGAGTAAGATTTAAACAGGCAAACCTGTGCATCGAGTATCTCCCGATCGTGGGTATGTCCGTAAAAGAGTGCAGACTCGAGCAAGTAAGCAGCAATGTAGGACATGTACCACAAAGTCCTACCGTTCTTACCGTATCTCGGACACTGAACAAAACTCGGTTAGGCCAAAGTAAACTATCAACTCTCGTTATATAATAAAATTGGTATTAAAGCAGGATTAAAATTCAAGCAATAGGGTTTGAGGCTTGAGCTGTAACAACACATTTTTTAAGTTTAGAGAATTTCCCTCCCTGTTAAAAATGGGTTATTTCTGACACTAACCACGAGATCGAAGATTCCAGTGATGAAGAAGAGAAGGTACATGGTGAAGTGCTGCCAATCTACTGAATCAGGGTCCTGAGAGGAGTTTCAGTTTACATGCATAATACAATCTTTGAGAGAGACAGTAATCAGTATCTATGAAAAGTCACAGAGTCTCAATAATGGAGTAAATAATTGTAGTAACATTGAACAAGTTAAAATATTACTGAATTAATTTAAGATAAGATGATAATATATAAAATATACAATTGCTAGTCAGTTTACCTCTTCCTTAATAAACAGCAACCAGTGAGCACTAAAACATTGAGAAAACATTCCAGCGACACACAAAATTATCTTGCCCAGAGGCTCTAATGTTTTACTGAACACATTCTGATGGATGTACACTCCTGGTAGTGAGAAATTATTTGAAAATTCAGACAAAAATTCTCGGCTCAAAAATCCCTGTTACAGATTGATCATTCAGCAATACAGGCAACGAAAGACATGGACAAAAAGAAATATTTAAGACGGCTACAAATCAAACGTTCATCTTCATGAAAGTTCTGATTCAAAAGTTTATGAATTATGACATAAAACACTCCTAATAAAATGCAAACCTTGAAGATGGTAGTTACGTAGACAGTTGAAAAGATACCACCAGCCCAGAAAGAAGAACATGGTTCCAGGGAAAATGTGTGAAACCAAGGTCCCCATTTCCCTGATAGCACCCTATGTAATGGTGAATCTTGTCATCAAAGAGTAAAATGTTTGTCTATTTTTACTAAGAGCTGATAACATGATGTTGTATAGAAATGCAAGTTGGTTGTGATAATGGTTGCTTAATGCTTATTCATAAATTGAAAGAACCAATGGTAATAGAAATACATAAGTAAGGAAAAAGATTGCTATAAATTAAACTTGGAAATGGAGACGTTGTAAAAGTTATAATATAAAAAGGTTGGGCAACAAAAAGAATCAAACAATTACATTTCAGGGTCAATGAAAAAAAGTTTCAAATTTAAAAACATGCTGAATGAGAGGCCAACCAATATCTAGTTTATTCGCCAATTAATTTCATTACTTCATCCCAATGGCTTTTTCTTGACCATTGCTTGGAGTATTCATCATTTGGTGCTTCCATAAGAATACCTCTTATAAACTTAGCACATTGAGCTGGTGATATCATATCGCCATTTTGTTTCCCAATATCAAAATACTTAGTGTGTTCCAAGTTCAGTTTCTTAGCTTTTTCATAATGGTCCCAAACACCCTCTGTATCAACCATACCGGGTAAAATATTGCATATACCAACATTCTGAGGAGGACATTCCACTAAAAGTTGCTCATATAATTTGTGAAATGCCATCTTGGTTATTCCATAAGTTGCAGTGCCCACTTGAGATTGATATACCACACTAGTACCAAGGTGACATATTCGGCCATGTGATTTACTCAATCGGGACAGGAATCCCTGAGTCAACATTAATGGTGCTGTAACATTGACTCTTAAAGCAAGTTCAAAGGCATCTTGCTGTATATCTCCTAATTTTGCAGGGTCACCAACAGCAGCATTTTGAACAAGATAGGAGACGTCATCTTCTTCTGGAATGGCATTAACAATTGATTCAATTCCCTCTTTCGTTGCAACATCAGCTTGAAGAACATGAATGTAACTTGGATTTTGTTCTTTTGTATTCTCCAATGGTATCAACCTTCGTCCAATGGCTAAAATATGGACACCATGTCTTGCCAATTCTATACTCAAGGCTGCCCCAATACCAGTTCCAGCACCTGTGATGACAGCCCACCGGTTAACCATTGAACTGAAACTGAAATCTGAGGGACAGCTTTATGTTATAGGTTCAAGTATTTTTCAATTCCCATATCTAAGTGCAATAGTAAAAAACATTAAATGCAAGAATCGTTTTAGATAAGTAGTAAAAAATCGTTCACAAACCAACACCACATGATATGTTATAATATGAATAATGAGGTGTTCTGCTCAAATCTATTTTAACCATTGAAGCAATATGTTCAACTCTGTACTGAGCTTTCCTTGCATTAACCTCAATGTGTGCCAATTTTTTTTCTTTTAAATAAATTGTTTCAAACAGTATACACATAATGTCACAATGACCCTATATAAAAATAACCCTTCTAAACTGTGCCAATTGGTAGGCAATTGTTATATATATTGAACATTGATTGCTATCATAATTTGTTATTAACGATTTGTTCTTCCCTAGCCTCTATGATTACGTGTTAACAACTTGTTTTATTTCTACGCTCACGCTACAACAAATGGCGACGAGGACAAAAGAGCCACTAACCGTCACATGCTGTCAAAAAAGCTGGTTTGAAAGATATGAGTTTGAGTTATTGGCGGGAGGACTGGCAGCAGAGGTCCCAGAGTTAGCTAATGACGGTTCTAACCGTGAGGCTAGAAACATGGCTATAAAGAAGAATTTAGCAGGCTTTATTGCAAGGACAGATGAGAACATTTACAAGCTGTTGAAGTCACTGACCGTAAAAAAGATGGAAGACTGCAGTTACGAGGAGTGTAAGAAACTCATTTTAGATCACTTGGCCCCTGCACCAACAAAGTTTGCTCAAAGATACAAACTAAGAAGCTGTGTACAAGAGGGTGAAGAAACCACAGCGACCTACGTTTCAAGATTAAGAACAATCGCAAATGAATGTGAGTTTGCCAACTACAACGAGGCTATATTGGATCAGCTGCTCGCTGGGCTGAGGAATCAAAAGGTTGTTTCCGAGTTGTTAACGAAGGATGACTTAACACTGGCAACCGCGGTGAAGGAAGCGTTAAGCCGTGAGCAAGCAAACAGGGAGGCTCAGTTCATGAATAGCACGTTATCACCGGGAGAGTCATCGAGATCAGTGAACTTTGTGAAACCAACATTCAAAAGAACAATGAAAAACCTCTATGGGAAGAAGGGGGAAAGTTCAGGTGGTTCGGGTGGAAAGCAGAAAAGTGGAATGCAAAAGGGACTTAAATGTAGACGGTGCGGACTTCGTGGACATATTGGTGAAAATTGTCAAGTCCGGTGTCATATCTGCAAACGTATTGGACACATCTCCAAGAATTGCAAGCAAAACAGCATTGTTCACAACATTGAACAAGGAGAGTCGAGTTCGGAGAGTTATGAGTTCGGTATGGATGAGAATTGTGAAAATGTCTTGGACAATGAGCTTTACCCCGAGTATGATCATGACAATGAGTGTAATTCAGTTGAGATTGAAAAAGGTAATGCTAATACATGTTCTTATCTGTGTGCTGATTTCTCTAAACTTACTCATTTAACTGATTCGAAATCTTCAAATATGTATGTGAGGGATAAGGTGTTTAATGCCTTTGATTTTAGTTATCTTGTTTGTGACCCCGATTCCACTATTACCACTGATAAGTCTGATTCAAGTTTAGTTTCTGATAATGTGTTACCGAATGTCAATATGATTGAGTTAAGCAAACCGTATGTAGAAGTAGAAATCAACGGTAAACTTCTGTCTATGGAGTTCGATTCAGGGTCTGCAGTGTCTGTTGTGAGCAAACGTACATTATTATCTTGTGGCTTGGCCAATTTAACACTTACACCCAGCAGGCAAACATTACGGGTTGCAAACGGACAAATCAAAACAGTTGACGGCTGTGCTGTAGTTAATGTAGAGTTGAACGGTGAAAAAGCTCATGGAATGCAGCTCTATGTAGCAGAGGACTTCCCCAGTTTGTTTGGAAGACCGTGGATTGTAAAGTTCTGTGGACAGAATTGGCTAGAGAAGCTGCTCAGCACAAAGTTAGTACATAATTTAGCCCCAGACAAATCCCAGCAGGTGTCAGTGAGCTGTGAAAGCTGCTCTGGGAGTGGTGTCGATAAGGGTGACATGCTAACCGATGGTGCGACCGTGAAAAACAGGTGGAAATGTGAAAACACCTGTACTCGGGTTGATCAATGTCGTAGTATCGCTCAGTTAAAACAGAGCGAGGTGTTTAAATCGGGTTTAGGACTAGTTAAGGGTGTACAGGCAAGTTTGGTCCTGAAGGACAACTCCAAACCTATTATGATGAAAGCCCGTAGTCTACCCTATGCCTTGAGAAACAAGGTTGAAAGTGAGTTAAATGATATGGTTGAAGCGAAGATTCTAACCAAAGTCGAAGACAGTCCATGGGGGACACCCATAGTGCCTGTGAAGAAGGATGGAGGGCAGTCAGTGCGCATTTGTGGGGATTATAAATCGACCCTGAACAAATGTATCAGCACCCGACAATACCCTCTACCTACCGTGGAGGAATGTCTGAATGCTGTGCAGGGGGGACAAACGTTCTCTAAGATTGACATCAAAAAGGCTTATAATAACCTGTTGATAAGAAATGAGGACCGTGTCTTGACCACCCTGAATACGCACAAAGGGTTGTATCAATGGAATCGCTTGCCGTATGGCATCAGCAGTGCATCGGCTATATTCCAGTCATGTATGGATGACACTCTGTGGGGTGTGCCTATGACGTGCTGCAGAATTGACGATATATTAGTTTCTGGTCGAAATGAGAGTGACCATCTGATCAACCTCAATAATGTCATAAGTAGGTTGGAGCAGCGAGGTTTTAAATGTAAAACCGAAAAAACTTCTTTCATGCAAAAAGAAGTTGTCTATCTGGGTCATGTGGTGTCTGCTGAAGGGATCAAACCCGTGAAAAGCAAGGTCGAGAGTATGCTGATGGCTCCAGAACCTAGGAATGTGGACGAACTAATTAGTTTTTTGGGGGCTGTGAATTATTACAGGCGCTATTTGCCCAACTTGTCGTCTGTGATTGCTCCAATTGAAAGGCTGAGAGCTAAGAATGTAAAGTGGGTGTGGACAAATACCGAAAAGACAGCGTTTAAAATATTGAAAAATCTGCTGGCTTCTAACCGTGTATTGACCTTTTACAATCCCAAGCTTCCTCTTAAACTGGACACTGATGCTTCAATCGGTGGCATTGGCGCAGTGTTGTCTCACATTATGCTGAATGGGGATGAGCGCCCCATTGAGTTCATCTCCCGGACCCTGTCACCGGCCGAGAGGAATTACGCTCAAGTGGACAAAGAGGCCCTGGCCATAGTGTGGGCCATAAAGCGCCTACATATTTACTTGTATATGAGACAGTTTACCTTGGTGACAGATCATCGTGCGCTGGTTCGTATATTTGGCGATAAGCCAATTCCAGAGATGACTGCCGGTAGGTTAACTAGGTGGGCTTTATTCCTTATGAATTACCAGTATGACATTCAATATCGTAATACCAAGGATCATGCTAACGCTGATATGTTATCCAGGCTGCCAAAATCGGTAACACACCCTGTGAGGGAGAGAGACGAGTTTGGTGATATGTTCGCACTGACTATGAGCGAGACTTTACTCAATGCTGAGTTAGTGGCGAACGACACTCGTAAGGACCCGATTCTGAGCAGAGTTTTGGAATACACTCTGAATGGTTGGCCGAAGAATCTGAAATGTGACGGTGATCTCAAAGCTTTCTGGACTAGAAGAGACGAGTTGAGCCATGAACTTGGGTGTTTAACTTGGGGAGCCCGTGTCGTGATTCCCGCTAAACTGAGAAGCACTGTAATGGATATTCTGCACGCCACTCACATTGGAGTAACAGGTATGAAATCCTTGGCCAGATCTTACGTTTACTGGCCACGTCTTGACACACAAATCGAGGATACTGCTCGGACGTGTGAGACATGCGCCAAGTATGGTAAGAACATGACTAAAGTCGTTGACCACCCCTGGGCTAAAACCAGTGCACCTTTCCAAAGAGTACACGCTGACTTTGCGGGCCCATTCCTGGGCAGCATGTGGCTATTATTAGTAGACTCTTACAGCAAGTGGCCTGAAGTTGTTCAAATGAACACAAATACAACATCTAGTGCTACAATACGTGCTTTTAGATCCATATTCTCTCGTACAGGTATCCCAATCTGTCTGGTAACGGATAACGGACCACAGTTCGTGTCGGATGAAACTGAGGGATATCTGAAATCCTGTGGTATAAAGCACGTGACTGTTCCGACGTATTCTCCCAAATCAAACGGAATCTGCGAACGACTTGTTCAGTCGTTTAAATCCGCCCTGAAAAAGATGTCTGTAACCAGTAAGGACGTGTGCAAGAATCTGAACGATTTTCTGCTAACTTACCGCAACACACCCCATTCGTCTACTGGTCAAACACCAGCTGTGTTAGCGTTCAACAGAACTCTGCGATCTAAACTACACCAAATCAAACCAACCGATCGGATGAGGGAGCAGGAATTGCAATCTGAGAAACTGCAAGTTGCAATTAACGAACACCCCAGAACTCGAGAGTTCCGGGAAAATCAGCTCATTTTCGCCAAAATGGACGACAAAAGCCACTGGGAGCAAGCTAGAGTAATCAAAAGACTCGGTGATAATTCGAACAATTACGTGGTCCAACACGGAGACAGGATTGTAAAGAAACACGCTGACGCAATAAAACCACGACACACCCCCGTTATAAGGATGGAACGAAAAGCAATCACTAGTCCGCAAAAAACGCTGTTAACCAGAGAGATAGCTCGCTCTGACATTAAGTTCCAGAAGCTGCATGAAACAAGGGAAAGACGGAGAATGAATGCACTAAACCTAGGAGTTCCGAACGGCAACAGACTTGAGGCTGTGGCGAAACCAGCGTCCCCAGTCAGGGATACCTCACCGTCTAAAGTGACTGAGCGTCCTCAACCGAAAGTTGCTTCCCCCCTGAAAACCAACGACAAGCAAGTCCGGGTGTCTGAGTTGTCCAAACCTACAGCTACAGGTGGTGCACCCTTACCTGAACCGCGTTTGAGACCAACCAGAAGTGCTAAGAGTGATGCTATCACTAAAATGAAAACCATGAGTTAGAATGAGTAATCACGAACTGAAATCATTGTAAACCCGTATGTTGTAATATTTGTCAAACCGCTGTTTTTATCACATTTTTAGAGTCACTCATTATTTTAAATTTTACAGATTTCCTGATTTAACTTATGTATTTTAATAATTCGACAGAGAACGTGGCTAATCCAATTTTATGGAAATATGAGTTACAAGTTTTTAACGTTTAAGAAGCAAAATGTTGCTAATTTTGTCCCGACCTGTGGGGAGAAAGTATTTTTTATGTCTGTTTTCTGACAGTTAAAGTTAAAGACCAGTTTGGTCACAAAAGTTGTTCCACATGTATGGAACGCGCGGCGACGTTAAGCTAGTCAGCGCTAAAAAGTGACAGTCCTCCTGACCTCAATTTTGCGCGCGCGCCTAGCTCCTCGTGTTAAACGCGAGCGCAGCTAGTTGTATCGGCCGACTAGCTATAACTTGCCGAAGGGAGATTGTTATATATATTGAACATTGATTGCTATCATAATTTGTTATTAACGATTTGTTCTTCCCTAGCCTCTATGATTACGTGTTAACAACTTGTTTTATTTCTACGCTCACGCTACAACAGCAATGACTGGTCGAATAGTAGACTGCAGAATGTAGTTAAGCAATGAGATCTTAAGACAGGGTCACTTCTCGTTAATCATTTGCTCAATTGTCAATCACATTTACCTGATTCTGCTAAATAGAATCGCTCGAGACCGTTGTATACTGTATTGACAGTTTTCTCATTTCACGCTTTCGTCAATATTAATTAATATTCAGTCGCTGGATTCACCCACAAATTAATGACGATGTTATTTCAAGCATGGCATATATAATTGATAATAGGTGTGATGTGACGTGCTTGTTTCACAAGAAAAGAACGGCAGTCGCATGCTACTGAACGGCAAATAAAATGGGTTTTGGTTAAAGCAAAGCTTTAATAATTTTTCAAGTAGCATGGCGCAAGTATGAAGTCAAGTCTTTAAAATTTTGTAACTGAAGGGCACGTGTTAATGAAAAATGTACGTGTTAATGAAAAATGTACGTGTCCTTCCACAATCCCTTCTGTTGGGTCACACGTTATTGGGAACTGAGATCGCTATCGTGTAACTAGAAGCAGTATATGCAAAAAAACATTGGTGATAGGTGATAGGCAATATGAAATTACACATCTTACTTTAACTTTATCCCATCACCCATGGACTTATTAATTATCGGCTGGTGGTGGTGTCATCGTTCGTCGTACTCAAAACGTTTCGCGGTTGCGAATGCCGGCCTATCGAGGAAAATCTTTTTACTTTGTATTTTAACCATTATAAAGTATGATTAGTCGGATATAGTACTGAGTTCAAACAGACAACAGTACCCGAAACGAAAAAGCAAACATTTGATTTTTGTTTCGGCGACTGAATCGTTGATGGGCCGGCAAATATTTGTTGTCGAGTACTGTTGAATACTCATATTAACATGATTATTGATTTAATTTAGGAATTGTATATAACTATCTTTGACCAGGTTTAATTGTTGATGAGAATGCACCCCAGCACTGGGCGCGAGCGGCGGCTTTGATGTTAGCGGCTACAAGCTTGAAGCTAGGCAGCTGCAGAAAAAACGCCGCGCGCGTTCACAGTTCAGCGTACGGCTTTTCGTTTTTGATTTTACAAATGACAAAGCAACTTTTAATGATTATTAATGGAATTATCGGATATTTATAATTCAATATGTATTGATTCTTCTGTGGAAAAAAATTGTATTTTACTTGAACAAAACTGCCGTATAGTAGTAGTTTATGGTTTAAAATTTACCCTGTCCCAAAATTAACTTAAAACTTAGACTGTCGTAAAGCTTTTTTGTGTGTTGTGCGTCATAAAAACTTTGTACCTTAACCAACTAGAGATCTCGTGCTTGCGAGCGCATCACATTGCACGTTGCTCTATCCAGAGCCCTTGCGCTTGCAGTAGTTGCAGTAGTGCGCGCCCGCATCACGGCGGTAAAAAGGGCTCTAGCCTGTATGCTGTAGCCATCAACCCACCCAACGATTTTGGCACCACTCTACAGTGGTGTCAAAATTACCCGCGCTTTTGTCCTCATATGCGACGTGTGTAGCCTTACAGACATTGATTGCGTAAAGTAAACGAGGTGTCGTACGTCACCTCAAGATCGGGTGACAGGGGGCTGACCATGCCCGAACCTAATTGATCATTGATTGGGTCTGAGGTCACGTGATTATGAGCCTATGAGGTCACGTGACTATGACGTCACCAGACCTTGTCCTCCGTTTCCCGCGCCGCTCATTGGACCAGTTGAGCTTGCATGCTTGTGAATGTAGGTGTAAGTACAGCTGTATTGTAGTTTATACCTAATTAACCCTTGTGGCGCGATGCACTAGTCACTACTGGGTCGCGCGCGCGCATCCAATAATGCTTCTCGCAACCAAATGATTCTTCAGTAGATCGGCGAGATGCACCACTCACCACTGGGCTTCGCCGAGCTGCGAAGGATTGACATCGTGAATCAAGATACGAAGTAAGAATGATATTTTGCGTTGTATCACGTGGTGACCCCCCACTGTCGCTTCACTATACTGTATTTCACATAGCCATGTGTATACGCGTACTGCGTGACGCGCTTGTTTCACGCGCTACTGCAAGCGAGAGGGCTCTGGTTAGAGCAAATACTGTATCGTATTCGAGGTTTGCTCTATCCGGAGCCCTTGATTGACGATGTCAATCCGTCGAGATCGTTGCTCTACGAAGCAGGGCAACGATCGTCGATGCGAAGCAAGAATGTTAGTTCGCGCAACGCGTCGAAGCGGCGAAGTCCTCCAACCGGAGCCCTTGCGCTTGCAGTAGCGCGCGCCATTTGACTTGTGGAACAAGCGCGCCCGCAGTGGTGCGAAAGCACATGGTTAGGTGGACATCGATATCGTTGCTTTGTTAATTCGCAGAGCAACGATCTGGAAGGGTTGACATCTGACATCGTCAATCAAGTGCAAATTATCAAATAACGGAGTAGTTCGCTGTTTATTAGTCTCATGATTGAAATACTGATATCTGGATATTATCCGGTTGGAAGAGACAAGGACAAGTGAAACAAGGAAGTTAGGAGTAAGGGCAAATTTTCGGCGTCAACGCCATCTTCAGGCTAAAATTGTTATAAATGTTAGTATATAATAAATGCTTCTATACTAGTTAAAATGCTAAATTAAAATTACACACACTGAATACAGGTTACATCAAATGGTATTGTACATTACATTGAAAATAGTGATGTACACACGTTTTACACTCTGTCCAAGTACATAATATCTATATTCAAAGACAAATTTAAACAAATAGCACACGACCCTGCTGTTCCCTGCGGTTTCTTTGCGTTCGCGACTATACCCATTTGTGATTCCACTGTGTGGACGCAGGTATGACAAATCATATATCTTCGTAAAGTACATCCTCTGACTAGGAGATCACAAGTTTAATCAGTTCTGGAGACTGTTCCTGGACAGAGTTAGGACGGTTTAAAGCTTCCGCGCCGCGCAATAGCCCCAAAATGGCTAAAAATATACATCGTAGTAGAATAACTTTGCGTAGGGAATGCGCGAGCACGACAATATGATAGTTAATATTTATTTTCGGCATCCGGCACGATAGCCTAGTTGGCTAAGAGGGCGATTGACCGTGCTAGCTGAGGGTTCGAATCCCGGTCTGACCTTTATTTAGTTTGAACTGAAACAAGTTATTTACTATTTTCGTCAAAAAGCTTCTCTAGTGACAGTGTTAGGTTAATATTGATTAGTTAATTATATTAAAAGTTTTACTCTAGGATGAAATTCATAATTAGAAATGGCAAAGCAGCTATACGCAAAGCATCATTATACTACAATTTAATAGAAATAACAATGTCTGTCTCTGATTATTTTTAAATACAAGTAACAGACTTGAGCAGTATTGCATATGCATCGATTAGTATTCAGTTCGGAGTCGTCGCTATCAGCTATAGCATAGATTTTAAATTGCTGCTATAGCTGCAGATATGAGCAGTTTTTATCAGTCTGATTTGGTCCGTTTTGGGCTGGGCCCAGTTTGCCAAGGATTCTGTTTTTATCTGTTGTAAAACTTGGTGTGCCTTTAAGTGCCTCTCTCAACGACAATCCCTCTTTAGCAGTTACTAATACTTGATAGCTATATTAATTCTGCCTGTCATGGTGGGAAAGGAAGGTCAAGACTGCTTGTTTTATAACTTTTTGTTGGGACTATTGACATGTAGTGTTTGGAGAAGGAGGGTAACGAAGGAGCACTTTTTAGTTGTCCAGTGGGCATGACTGTCCACATCTGAAACAGATTTTAATGAAAGGAACTAAATAATAATACGGTTGAGTAAAATCAAATCTGAGACTTGAGTGGCGAGTGCAGTAGGGAAAGAAAATCTATAAGTGCATCTCAAACTGCTAAACTTGACTTACTGTTGAAAAAGACTGTTTGACTACACTTCAATCCACCAGCCTCTCATAATTTTCAATTTGTGAAGCAGCTGGCGTGAGTTTCGTGAAAATCTTTCATAATCCCAGCCTCCAGAAGTTGCTTTTATTTTGGGTCCTCTTAGAGCTTTAGAGGTTATCGATATTCCAGATTATGTCTGCTTTGTTGTCTGTACTTCCGGGGGTTGTATAAACCTGAGAAATTGAACAGTTCAATACCAGAGAGAATGCTGAAGACTTCGAAAGTTCTGCCAATATGTTTATTTTCTATACATAAATCCGAATTTGTCTCTTTAGTGGCGATTTTAGACAAAATTTACCTTCTTTCGGACTAAAATTTGAAACTGAATTGAAGTTTAAACGATTACCTCTAGAATGATATTAATGAATTAGTAAATTTATCATCTGAAGTCAAGTTATGGTCGATTTTGGAAGCTTGGATACGCTAAAATTATTAATTACATCAATATGATATCAATTATTGCGCGCGGCTCGGTTATATTGCGCGTGGTTACTAGGCGCCAGCGGAAGAATTGCTTACAATTTTTTTTCCGTTCGGCAGAAAGACAATTGTGACTGACAAACATGTAGAAAACTCTCCCAGAACTTCTAGTATATTCTTTAGGGCGGGAAATACATCGTATGCAAGGTCCGTGATTATCCCGCCAAATCCGAATTTCTTCCTAAATATATCACAAAGGCACGTTCACAATTTTTGCGCGTTATAAACCGCTTCATTTTAGGTCGTTCTATAGTTAATCTCACTACTTCAAAAGGGTAAAACTGGTTAGAGAAGAACTCAACCTTTGGTTTCTTCACAAGTAGAAGCACTAAGAAAACACCCAAGTTGTCCATAATAGAGACAAGAAACAAACTTTCAAACTAAACAGGCTGACTGAGCTTAAGAGGTTTATATACATTTGTATACCTATGGAACTGTAGAACTGTTGAAATCCAAAGAAGGTTATTGACATTGTTCTCTAGAGGGTGCTGGCATTTTACCTTATAATCATTCTGGAGACGGGAACGAGCATGTTACTGTTAACAAGAGTCAAAAATACCGGCAGGGCACTCATTTGAATTCCGTAAGTGTTCTGGGCGTGAAACATTGTCTTCAGGATAAGGAATCTGTTGCTCCAAGTTATCAACAAGATAAGAAAACGGTTCACTGAATTACTTTAAATGCTTTACTGTTTCGAGGAGAATTGGTATTTGGTGCACTACTGTTCTCAGGAGAAGGAAACCACCTTTCTACTACTGACGTATACATATAAAAAAAGATGAAAAATATTATAACAACAGAACCTTCTAGAAATATAATTTACATACATTGCAGGATACGTGGCCCTACAAGTATACCTAGTATATAGTGGTGTTATGAAACAATTCAAAGATATTACCATTGTCCACTCTCAGTTTTTAAACTGTTTTAAACGAAGATATATTATTTAACATAAAAATTTAAAATAGTTCTGTCTGGTAATTGATATACACATCCTGAAATAGGGGCGGTTAAATTGTGAGCTTTAATTCGAGGGTCAACATAAAATCATGGCAAATGGTATCTTACAAGCAATGGCAATATAACCGGGCTTTTTTAAAGTAATGGCTAGGGTACTAAGTAGCTAGGGTACTAAGTAGCTAGGGTAATAAGTAGCTAGGGTAATAAGTAGCTAGGGTAATAAGTAGCTAGGGTGCTAAGTAGCTAGGGTAATAAGTAGCTAGGGTATCAAGTAGCTAGGGTACTAAGTAGCTAGGGTAATAAGTAGCTAGGGTACTAAGTAGCTAGGGTACTAAGTAGCTAGGGTACTAAGTAGCTAGGGTACTAAGTAGCTAGGGTAATAAGTAGCTAGGGTATCAAGTAGCTAGGGTAATAAGTAGCTAGGGTAATAAGTAGCTAGGGTAATAAGTAGCTAGGGTATCAAGTAGCTAGGGTAATAAGTAGATAGGGTAATAAGTAGCTAGGGTACTAAGTAGCTAGGGTACTAAGTAGCTAGGGTACTAAGTAGCTAGGGTAATAAGTAGATAGGGTAATAAGTAGCTAGGGTAATAAGTAGCTAGGGTACTAAGTAGCTAGGGTACTAAGTAGCTAGGGTAATAAGTAGCTAGGGTAATAAGTAGATAGGGTAATAAGTAGCTAGGGTACTAAGTAGATAGGGTAATAAGTAGCTAGGGTACTAAGTAGCTAGGGTGCTAAGTAGCTAGGGTAATAAGTAGCTAGGGTAATAAGTAGCTAGGGTAATAAGTAGCTAGGGTATCAAGTAGCTAGGGTACTAAGTAGCTAGGGTAATAAGTAGCTAGGGTACTAAGTAGCTAGGGTACTAAGTAGCTAGGGTACTAAGTAGCTAGGGTACTAAGTAGCTAGGGTAATAAGTAGCTAGGGTATCAAGTAGCTAGGGTAATAAGTAGCTAGGGTAATAAGTAGCTAGGGTAATAAGTAGCTAGGGTATCAAGTAGCTAGGGTAATAAGTAGATAGGGTAATAAGTAGCTAGGGTACTAAGTAGCTAGGGTACTAAGTAGCTAGGGTACTAAGTAGCTAGGGTAATAAGTAGCTAGGGTAATAAGTAGATAGGGTAATAAGTAGCTAGGGTACTAAGTAGCTAGGGTACTAAGTAGCTAGGGTACTAAGTAGCTAGGGTACTAAGTAGCTAGGGTAATAAGTAGCTAGGGTATCAAGTAGCTAGGGTAATAAGTAGATAGGGTAATAAGTAGCTAGGGTACTAAGTAGCTAGGGTACTAAGTAGCTAGGGTACTAAGTAGCTAGGGTAATAAGTAGCTAGGGTAATAAGTAGCTAGGGTAATAAGTAGATAGGGTAATAAGTAGCTAGGGTAATAAGTAGCTAGGGTGCTAAGTAGCTAGGGTAATAAGTAGCTAGGGTAATAAGTAGCTAGGGTAATAAGTAGCTAGGGTAATAAGTAGCTAGGGTAATAAGTAGCTAGGGTATCAAGTAGCTAGGGTAATAAGTAGATAGGGTAATAAGTAGCTAGGGTACTAAGTAGCTAGGGTACTAAGTAGCTAGGGTACTAAGTAGCTAGGGTAATAAGTAGCTAGGGTAATAAGTAGCTAGGGTAATAAGTAGATAGGGTAATAAGTAGCTAGGGTAATAAGTAGCTAGGGTGCTAAGTAGCTAGGGTAATAAGTAGCTAGGGTAATAAGAAGATAGGGTAATAAGTAGCTAGGGTAATAAGTAGCTAGGGTACTAAGTAGCTAGGGTACTAAGTAGCTAGGGTAATAAGTAGCTAGGGTAATAAGTAGCTAGGGTACTAAGTAGATAGGGTAATAAGTAGCTAGGGTAATAAGTAGATAGGGTAATAAGTAGCTAGGGTAATAAGTAGCTAGGGTAATAAGTAGATAGGGTAATAAGTAGCTAGGGTAATAAGTAGCTAGGGTAATAAGTAGATAGGGTAATAAGTAGCTAGGGTAATAAGTAGCTAGGGTAATAAGTAGATAGGGTAATAAGTAGCTAGGGTAATAAGTAGCTAGGGCACTAAGTAGCTAGGGTAATAAGTAGCTAGGGTGCTAAGTAGCTAGGGTACTAAGTAGCTAGGGTACTAAGTAGCTAGGGTACTAAGTAGCTAGGGTACTAAGTAGCTAGGGTATCAAGTGGCTAAGGTACTAAGAGCTGCAACAATTAAGCAAATGTGTTCAGGATAAACTAAGGACTTCATCCCTCAATTATATATAAATATATATATATAAAGTTAATACTAACAAATAAGCAATAGGTGTGTGTGTACTGTGTACTGTGTGTGTGGCATGTGTATGAACCAAAACAGTGTTTGACAATTCAGTCAAACACTGCACTGTACAAAATAATAGTTCATCTGAATGTTAACAGGTACATTTATACAATATATCATTTTATCAACAATGATTGTAAACACAGGTACTGTTATGTAGTTATATCAAACATTACAATATTCTACCAATTACATGCCTGCATAAGTACATATAAGTATTATATTACATAAATAATTATATATCGCAACCTTTAAAAGTGTCGCATATCTTTTAAATCTAATACTCTACTAACTAGGTAATCGATAACTTCTGGCATTCTGGTTTACTTGAAAACCACCAGTCAAGAACAGCAGAAAAGGTGTTAAAGTAATCAAATACATTCCCATGTGATGTACCTGTCATTGTAAATTAGCCACAGCAAGTAATCTATCTAGGGAACTTCCAAACAGGAAAAAACATATTTTGTACATTTTTGTACATTTTTGTACATGCACAATGTACATTTGGCAAAAATCTGGTGACAATTGAATCATATGTAATGTTCAAGTTGTAATGACATTTTGAAAGGAAAGGTAATGAATCGATAATCACATTTCAAAAATTCAATTAAGTATTATACGTTACTGATTGATTCATTTGTCACATTATGGAGACAAAATTATCATGGCTTGAGTAGTATAAGAACTTGCCTAGTTTACTCAGTTTAAAATCAGTGTTTTGTGATTATTGATTCCACTATTACTCTAATAACGAACTTCTCCATGACCATAAACAAGTGTCACAACAAATCACTGCAGATTTACTATGAATACCAACCTGATATAGAGCCAAAAAGTGATACATTCCCCTGATACAGCATCATTTCAATACATGCTCATTTATGTGATTTTTGACTCATTATGGCACTTTTAACCATCTAAATTCTCTAAATATTAGTTAGCATGCTATTATTGTGATCGATAGAGTTCATTATTACAATCATTCCGTTGATATTCATATCACATTCATCATTCTAAAATAATTAGTCAGAATTAACCCTGTGTGTGATAATTGCATCATAACTCCACATTTAACCGGTGACTCTTGGCACTTTTAACACTCAACTATCTCAAAAAGGTTCAATAATCACATTGAGAAGCAGGACACACTCACAGAATGTAAATTCATCATTAGAGGTGCAAAAAAAGAATATTTTGTGATTTCTGGCTCATATCTGCACAATTAACAGATATAAAGAGATGAATGACTTCATTATGTGACATTTGAATCTTTTTGGACCACATATTAAAATTTGGTTAACTTTCATAGCATACTCCTTGAGATACAAGTATTTTAAAATGCTTCACACAATTTTGGCAGTGAAAAATCAATCTCTAGTGCCACCTTTTTATGAACGTGTCCATATATGGTATCTTAACCACATATTTGGTACACGAATTACAATAAATTGAATAAAATATGTGACTAATTGTTAACAAATGGTCGGTTTTGATCAATATTAACCACCAATTATCGACACCTTAGAACTTACAGTAATAATCAATTATGAAGCTGATATGACTATGGCCATAGTCATATATGGTATAGCTATAGCAATCAAATAAACCACTAAAACAGCCACTTCCGTACGCCATAATAATTGATACCAGGCTATATTAGGCTCAAAATTGAGTTTGTCAGTTTAAGATGCATTTAAAATGATCTGATAGGAAAACTGGTTCCCTACAAAATGCAAAAAAACCAAAATTAAAAATTCCTTATGTTAATGGTTTAACCGCTACGCGGCCGCGAAATTTGCGATTTTTCGCAAACCAATTTTTTGGCTTTTTGGCAGCGAAAAATAGCTCTTACTCTATGTCTGTTACACAAATGAGATAATATAATAAGTTGACTCCTTTCATATCTCCAACAACTCTCAAATCTTAATTTATTTGAAAAAACCTTAATAGGCTATCTATAATTTAGCTGATTTTTGACATGAACCTGAGTTTTTGCCCCATTTTTAGGCAAATTTTTGGCCTTCCAGCCCAAATATAGTTGTGTTGCCGGCATTTGCCGCCCTATTCCATAACTCCATCTAAAAGCCTAGAGTATTCCCTACATTATACAAAAAAATCATCTTGGGCATTTTTTTTTTAATTGCAGATTTTTTACCAATTTATCGGCTAAAGCTATGTTATTTGGGGCTTGTGCCCACTGTGCAGGTGCAAGCTTAAGTATGATGGGGTATAATAGGCTATTTCAAATGTTAAAATATGATTCCATATGTGTTTAATACACGTTTTCGCACATTAACAGCTGTTTTTAGCACATTAGTGTTATCTCAACCAATTGTTAACCACCAAAAATAAACCATTTATCTGCATATATTGTAAAATTCATGGCATTACCACTAAAGATTAACCACTGATAGAGATCACAAGGTTCACTGTCAAAATTTAAGGCAAGTCTGGACAAGTTAGCCAATGTCCACTAAGTTTCCCCAGATTTGCTGCTATTGCTGTGTTGTTTCCAGTTACCAAAAATAACTAACTTTCGACATAACATACACTGCTAATGAACTGTACAGTTGCAATTTCAAAAAATTACTAAGTACTAACCTACAACAACAGGTAAGTCACATGAAGGAGTGTTCCAAGGCAAAACCTGTCGGTATTCATTCTGAAAAAATGTCCATTAGTATTGCAGATCAGCTGGATCAATGAAGCTATCATAAGTTCTCATTGACTCTGTTAAAGCGCTCTGTTCTTAAAAGTTTAATTTATTGACATTTCCCTGATGCCAACATTTTCCAAGAATTTAAGTTTGTAAAGACTATATTGGATTAAATACAGAATTACAGATAGCTATAGATTATGTTTATGTTAAATTACAAATTAACCAATATTTATGATATCATGTGCCAACTTTAAGTAAGGTTTAAAAGCAAATTTTTATGAAAGTAGTAACAGAGCTTTTCATAGATCGAAGTATAAACGAACTTACGAATTATAATTATAAGTTATAAGTGATTAGTAAATACCTCATGATTATCAAATAATCTGAAGAGTAAGGGTTATCTGCTGATGCATGTTATCTGCTGATGAATGCCAAGGTTGTCTTTCACCGTGTGAAGTGCCGGTCTGGTGTTCATTCTAATTGAAGATTTATTGGTTTTACAGTAAATTAAAAGCACTTAAGTTTTCTTGCCACATTGATCTTTATTAAATGTAGTTAACAAGGGCATGAATGAATTTGAATCCTAAAATAGAGTTGATCCTGTAAATTAAATCAAAACCAAACGGTTCTCAACTTTTCATAACCAGCTGCACACATACAAGGTCTGAAGATAATAAAATTACAGAACAGAGCCATTTGTACACGTTAGTAGAATTACAACTTTATTGCAATGAGTAACAGTCTTTCGACAGACTATTACTCTGTTTTACTAATGAAATATAAATTAAAATCCGTTTTATCTGGATTTTAGTCATTGAACATTAATGAGCAAAAAACGATCAAAATAGGGAAGCTGCAAAGACTTTAAATTTGACATTCCAAACTGACCAAACACATGAAGTTCCTGGCAATAGTTTAAATTTGCACCATCTAAAGTCATTCCAAAGGCCCTGTAGCAATACTTGAAAATTTTCATAAAACCGATATTAAACTAACGTTTTGACTTGTCAAGTCAATAGAAATAATTATTGAAAAACAACAAACGCAGTTAAAATGAATTTAATCAAATTTTTGTTTGACAAAACAGGTTTTAAATTCGTTGCTACTATACAGCAAGCAGCACACTTTTGTAAATTCCAAGCCGAAGTTATGCGGAGGTTATTCCAAGATTGCAGATTGTAAAATCAAGCAAAACACGCGCACATCTTAAAATAAAAAACCAATCTTCGACTAAAATTTAACGAATGATACTTGCAGTTAATATAATATCGAATCATTATTTCACAAAAGTTATATATTGTTCAATACTAATTATTAAAAAAATGAACTGGTTATAATTTATGGTATTTAAAAGGTTGTTATAATGACAAAATGCCGTACAAATCGGCGCGTGGCTTTGTGTTTTCAGTTTACAGTTTAGTGATTTGTAACCTAAATATGATTGCAGAAAAAAACATTTGTTACTTCTTTTTTGATGCAAAACCAGAATTATATATTTATATAATTCTAATGTAATGTAAGAATGATACTTGTGTCATATATTTAAAACCATATTACTTACCTGGGGACCTCAGGCTATCATGTTCATTAACATAATGAATAGAGATTCGGCGGAATGACAGGCTGAGCGCCGCCCAGTAACATATTACTACCATATTTATCAACACACAACATTGAATTGAACGCGTATTTGTCAATAACAAATAACAAAAACTATTATTACTCATCAATTTAATACATAAATTGGCTCATTATACAAAAAAATCTTACAACACAATATAATATTAAATTGTAAGTGTTCAGTGTTGACACATAATTGATCGCTATGCTATTCATATTTCGCGCGGCGCAAGTGACCGTCCGTTAAACACACTCGATGCTTATAATGTATGCATCTAATGCATCATTAATGGAAGGCGCGCCAGTGAAATTTTTGCGCGCGAATTTACGATTTAAACGAAAAGAAACTGCAGGGTTCAGTAGATATTATGTACTTGGACAGAGTGTAAAACGTGTGTACATCACTATTTTCAATGTAATGTACAATACCATTTGATGTAACCTGTATTCAGTGTGTGTAATTTTAATTTAGCATTTTAACTAGTATAGAAGCATTTATTATATACTAACATTTATAACAATTTTAGCCTGAAGATGGCGTTGACGCCGAAAATTTGCCCTTACTCCTAACTTCCTTGTTTCACTTGTCCTTGTCTCTTCCAACCGGATAATATCCAGATATCAAGTGCAAATTAGATTTAATAATTTACAATTTAGCAAAATGATTAAGCGTGCGCCGCTTTTTCTTTATTCTTGAAATATTATTGGCTCGAGTCATTAAGTTTCGCAGTAACTCGCGCTGGGTTAGTTCATATTAGTGAAACAAATTTAGTGAAACAAATTTCCTTTATTTTCGGAGAAAACCCCAATCCGTAAAGTTGTCCTAGCTTCAAGATCGTTGCTCTGCGAAGCAAGAATGATAGTTCGCGCGGCGTTTCAAAGGGGCATTGTAGGTTTATAACCTACCAGGACGCGCGCCGAGTTGGACTCGTCGACGGTCCTGTATAAGGAACAGATATTTTACGAGTATCACCCGTTAACGTCCTCCATCATCCAAGTGCCAAAATATAAATTTTAAGCCGCAAATTACAAAATTTAATATTTTATATTGAGTGCATTTCTTCAAAAATACAATCACCATCTGGAGTTGCAATAGAAAATGTAGGGATAAAGCAGTTTTCTTGTCAAGTATTTCCCAATCTCATATCCAATTTCCTTCTAAAATTGAGTATTTTCCAAGATATGAGCTAATGTCTTATTATATTTGATATGATTTCATCGGCCTTACAATTTACTAGCAACAGTTTATGTTCTCTATCTGGAAACATTACATCATTCTGCAAAATTCACATGTAAGATTGTTATTTTATTATTGCTATTATTACTACTTAGGCCAAGGGTGATTTTCAAGTTATTGAGGGGTTATTTTTATATAGGGTCGTTGTAACATTTTGTATATACTGTTTGATGAATATCTATTTAAAACCGAGCTTACTCTTTTAAGAGACAATTTTGTATAATTGTATTCATGCTTTGTAAATACATTTCGTTGGTCACTTTCATCAGTGAAAGCTTTCATATCCTGTACTATATATTCAGGTATTCAATCCTAGTGTAATCTAGTCTGATGAATTTGTTTGAAAGCTCCTCGAGGGGTCGTCTCTAATGGACTAATTTATTGATTACAATCATAATAAGTTAAAAATAAAGACCCCAATGGGCACTCCTGAAAACATACTCGAAAATATATCAAAACTAAATAGAAAAATAAACTGACGACAAATGTGATAAAGTCGCAACAAACTGCAAATTATGGGAAAAACGTCAAGCAACAATTTTTACACAAAACACGTTTACAAATGGGTTCGAGATTGAGTTTCGAAATTAATTTCACTGATCCTCTGCATTTGTGCATAGTTACGTTGGTGTAATGTCCTTTGCTAATTCAGCTGATGATTGGTAAAATTTCATTTAGGGTTTACATGGCCCTGCCTACAGTTGAAGCCTTCTCATAAGGATACCCTTCGATACATCATTTCGGATTACAGTCAGTAGGGGGGGGGGGGGGGGGGGGGGGGGGGGTGCCAGGTACTGGCCAAACTGCGCGTTTTGCTCTAGAAACACACCAGCGTATCGTTTATTATTTTAGAGAGGGGCGTTAAAATGGGAGGGGGCGCTTTTTTGGCGGAGGGGTAAATCGTGTAAATACAATGCTGCTATCTAATCTTTCTCTAATAATCTGAATCGGTAGGTCTCCATTCTATCCATGGCATCTGCAAACTATTTGCAGCAAATACCAAGCAGGTATAGGAAGGTCCATCATCTGGACCTCTCACTACATGTCCAAGCATTCTCCATAGACTTTGTTCCACTCAAGCTGAAAGTGGGTCACTTTTGCAGCGTTTGTACAGATATGATTGGCAGTAGAAATCACCTATGGGTACAACAGTTCAATAGTGCTCCTAAATGACGCCTGTGTACAACATCCAACTTCTCCAGTTAATGTCACAGTATTAAATATTAGACTTACTAGTTGTTGTGGCTGAAAGATGCTACATCTAATTTGACTATAGAGCGAAAGTCTATTTTTTTCTTCTTGATTCTACTCGATTTTTGGTGTTCATTCACACACAGTCTCTTTTGTTGTCAAACGCGATCAAGCATTCGTGAAAGGATTGTTCTCACCATTATAATTAACAAGGGACCGTCTGAATGTCTTAAAACTTGATTTCTGTGCAGAACACTGTTTTTTTTTTTCCAATAAGCCAAACAGTATATTATATACAATAAATTAAATCAAGTGATGCAATTGGCAGAGCACAATCGTAAATCCTGAGCAATAGATATCATCTATCCCTCGTAGCTCTTCTCCTCAGGTATCAGGTTGAAGGAGACATTGGATATAGGGGCAGTCCATGCCTTCTTTGCCTTTCCACGTACACCTCTAACTGCTACTAGCACACTCCTCATTATAACACTGTTCAGGTTACTTGTAATGTCATGTTCTGTTTGAGTATCTTCAACTAAATGTATGCATTCTGTGTCTAGTACCATACTTAACCTCCAAAGCTGAATCGAGCGTCAGTATAATGCACTCTAGTCATCTGCAAACGCACAGCTTCTTTGCCTGGCCACACAAATAAAATACACATCTCTTATTGTGTATCTTGTCTGGTTAGTTAAGGATCGGGTCTAATCGGGTCCTTATGTTGCAGAGTCATGTATGATGCTTCAGTATATTGACTCTCACAAATCACAATATACTTTTTATTTGATACTTCAAGCTATTTGCCGGTTAAAAGGGGAAATGCCATGATGCTCCCTCTGATCTCCCTGCTTGCTGGGAGCTATAATGTATTGTCAGTGATCATATTTGTAAATTACTACTTGTATACTCATAATAATAACTTATTCTTATAGCCTGGTCCAACCACATCAACATGGCTGAAGTTAAACTCACTTTTATTGAAGACTTCGCCTTGTCTGGTGTTGCCGCTGTCGTCAGTAAGGTGAGAGTTTGTCCATGTTCTTCTGTCTACCGTTTAAATTTACATTCAAATTACTCATTGATTGTTTTAAGGTTATTTATGCAATGAGACAATCATGAATGGTAACTAGCTGAATCTTAACAAACAAATTTTATAGCCAAATATATCCTGCATTATTAACTAACTGAAGTATTTCATACGAATATTATATTATATTACAATTCCAAATCTAACAATTTAACAATTCTTTCAGTCTGCCGCCGCTCCCATCGAGCGTGTGAAGCTCCTTGTTCAGAACCAGAATGAGATGATCAAACAGGGCAGGTTGGACAGACCTTACAAGGGAATCGCTGACTGTACTGCCAGGACCTTCGCCTCTGAGGGATTCTACCCCTTCTGGAGGGGAAACCTCGCTAACTGTCTCAGATATTTCCCCACTCAGGCTCTTAACTTCGCCTTCAAAGGACAAATCAAGAGGATGTTCGCCGTCCCCAAGGATGCCCATACTGGTAAGTTTGGAAAATGCTATTTTGTATCTAACACTTATTTTACTTCGCCAATTACAGGAAGCCGAAGGATTCAATCATACATATGAATTTTAAATTGTCATCATTCAAAGAAACTGTATAGATCTACAATTAGCTGATAGCGTCTTATCAAAATAGATGATTATATAAGATACCAATTGTAGATATATACTAAAATGTTTCCTCCCACAGTCGCCAAGTTGGGAGCTAACGTCGCATCAGGAGGTGTTGCTGGATCAATGTCTCTCTGCTTCGTCTACTCTCTCGACTACGCCCGAACACGTTTGGCTAACGACAATAAAGTTGCCGGCAAGGTAAAGAGGATTTAATTAAGCAGCTCAAAATTGACTTAGATTATATTGCCTGGGAGTGTGCTTTTTGACCTTTTTTTTACTAACACGTGATGGAAAAATGATATTCCCATTTTGTAGGACGTTTGTTGAGTATGACAAATTAATTACATGTCGTAAATTTCAGGACGGAATTGCTACTCGTCAGTACAACGGACTCGTAGATGTGTACGCCAAAACCCTCAAATCCGATGGTATTGCTGGTCTTTACAGAGGGTAATTGACATAAAGTTTCCTTTTAAGTACACGTCCAGTACCTGGTATATTTTACTTTAGATTTATCAGTAAATACCAGCTGCCTGGTAGACGGGTTATCCCCAGGGGACATGATCTTGTCACACGTTTATCGCTGTTCTTAATACGAAATTTCTCGAACATCTCCTGTTCGGTTCTAGCATAAAAGTGGAGAACATCAAACTGTTATGAACCTTGAATTTGATAATTATTATAATTGTCTATACATTAAAAGCTAAAACATATAATCTTCAGTTTCGTCATCTCCTGTGTCGGTATCTTCGTCTACAGAGGTTTCTACTTCGGTCTCTACGACACCCTGAAACCAATTGTTCTGGGACCTGATGCCGGTTTCCTTATGTGCTTCGCTCTCGGTTATGGTGTAACTGTAACTGCTGGCCTCATGTCCTACCCCATCGATACCATCCGAAGAAGGATGATGATGACCAGTGGAACTGGAGTCAAATATGCCGGAGCCATCGACTGTGCCACGCAGGTGACTGATTTTTTTTTCATGTAGTTTTGTCTGATAAATGCTGCTCTTTAATTTACTATAATACTCTTTTCTGCAAATTTCTTGCACTTGTTCGTTCGACATCGTGGAACAATTATTTCAACGAAAATTTCTTCTCGAAGCGCACATCTATCAAAACTGTTGCCATGGAAAATCTTCAGCAAGAATTCTCCGCGATTCGACAACTCGATATTCGCTTCTTTTTTTTCTTCTCGACGGTTCGGTTTCTATTGAATGTACATACATTGGTCATGTTAACAAGCAGACGGAATATAAATAGTTTGGCATGCACGATTGGACAAAGAGAAGTTTATAAAACTTCTCATGTTATGCTAGCCATTTTATCATGCAAAAAATGTTGGAATAATCTGATATATCACGTACATGTCGTGCGATGCGGAATTGTGGTTTCCGATAGTAACATAGTTCTGGAAGATTGCTACTTGCTAGTGAGAACGGAAAAACATCTGGATCAAAATTTTAACTTCTGCAACACCGGAAAACGTTTTCTCCAAACTTTTAACTGCTCGGTCGAGAAATATCGCTGTTTTACGAAATAAAGCCACCAAAGTTACTTGGAAATAATATTTTTAAGCCTCTGTGCGGAAAATAATTTAGAAAGACACTGAAATTTTTCTTTTATATCTAGAAATCTAACTCAACCCTTGTCCTCAGATCGTGAAGAACGAAGGATTCATGTCCATGATGAAGGGAGCTGGAGCTAACATCCTCAGAGGTGTTGCCGGTGCTGGTGTCCTCTCTGGATTCGACTCCGTCAGGGCTGCCTACATCAAATTCCGTGTTGGTGGACAGAAATACTAAACTAGAGATTATGTGCGGACATTTTATAGTCATGATTGTGTATAGAACGCTATTATTGTACTAGTGTCTCTGGCGGCACAGTGCTGTAAGATATTGAGAAACTAGTACATTTTATTTTATACATGTACAATTTCGTGGTCATATCTAATTTAGAAGTCGTTTCTCACGGTGTTTCTCACTATGGTAAATATAGTCGTGACTCGACCAGTAATTTATTATTATTTGGTTATATTAGTTCTTTGATTTTGTCCTAAAAGGCGGCTGCCTGAGATCTTGAGAGTTGATTTATAGTTTCAAATCATGACCATTGTAAGTGGATGCTTTCGTACTCGGCTCCTGGCACGCTGTAATAAAGTTTCAACTTAATTTAGTGAGGCTGTTTTAATGCTGATACCTTTTTTCATTAATTTAATGTTTTCATTTAAATTCCGCTTACTTTGGGGGTGATTTGTGATGATTTATGATGCTTCATAGATTCAAGTTTTGAATGAGTCAAAATAGTTGTGTTTTTTTACACTTAACCAAATAATTCAAATTGCGGCTCACTTAAATACATTACTCATACGAACAACTTAATAACGGGTAAAAGCAGGGCAGTACGTGTCCACTGTCCAGCTAATAGCAATTTGTTGCTCGAGTAGAGTGTGACGTCCGATGAGTAAATCGAATTTATCCGATTGTTCTCGAAGGTTCTAGAATTTCAACCGCGTACCAGACCTTTAATTACCGGTGTTCTGCATCACATGACTAACTCAAGCTAGCTGAAATTTACTCTGTCGAAAAATATGCAGCAGGAAGAACATGCCTCCTGCTTATTTAACACCGTGTAAGTAAGTTAAATGATAAAGTGATTGACAATGCAACCCTGCATAGTTGTACACACTTTAGTAGTATCACATTACATTTGGCGTCCTAACTCCAGGAATATCGTTTCTGTGTAGCCCGGTACGTGCTTAACGTGACGGTAGAATATATTTATGGACTTTTCCATATATATAAATGTTTTGCCAATGTAGAATACTGAATAATATATTTTCTGTAGTGATGATTCGACAGAACCTATTAGAGGAAAACTTGTGAAAATAAAAAAGACTGTTCAGCACAGTTGATGGGCATGTTTATTGATGAAATTGTTTCGATTACTTCAATAGTTTAGCTAATGTTAAGCTAGTAATTTATCTGTGTTTAGTCTTGTTGCAGCAGTTTCTGCAAGCTAGTGTAAACTGCGTGCAAAATACAGAAGCCATCTTCCAGCAAGACAAGCAAAAACAGTTCCAATTTGTTTAAAATGTGCACTTTCTCCATGCAACAGCTCATTTAGGGGCAACAACCGGAAGCTTGAACTTGCAGTGTCACTCCACATCGAATGGATGGTGAGCGCGCGCCAAACGCCACGAATTTTCTCAGATTACTCTCATATGAAGAACACAATTTCAGTAATAACGACGAATTTTTCTTGCGCGCATAATTAGTTTCTATGCAACAGAGAGGTTCTAGAACTTCGAGCTTCGTCGTATGATTCGTCGTGACTGGGTAAGCGGTATCTTATTAGATAATTGGATAATTGATCCAACATACCTATGCATACAGATCACAGTGCTGAATATATGCAGGTAGACTTACATCTGGGGCACATAAATTACGGTTCGAATACGTTTCAATAATATTGAAATCCTTGAAACTACGGCTTTCTGTTTGGAGACTGCTAAACCCTGACACAGTTGCACATTCAGTGTATGCAGCGTGGAATAAGGCTCTTAGATCATACTTATAGCGGTAAGCGGCATCCCTGTGTCTAACTATCACAAAGATGTAATCAACTTCGGCCGACGCTAGCTGTAAGGGGTCGTTCACATATTACGAAATCAATATTTTGACAACCCCCCCCCCTCGTAATCAACCGTAAGCATTTGAAACCCCCCTCGGCTAATTACGTAATATGTGAACGACCCCCATCAACAAAACCGATTAAAATGACGTTAAAACAATCATTGAACGTGCATGTAACAATCCTCGTTACTATGGTTACTATGGTTACTACGCAACTACCTATTTCTTATCTATTTGCACGTGGGCGGTCGTACATACATACATACATTCTACATAAATAATTCTCTGAATTATAATAGAGACTAGAAAACCCGTGGTCAGAGGGAGGAAGCCAATAGTATTCTATTTCTTTGGTAGTCAGTTTTTATCGCATCAAAAAATATCCGTCAGTAGAACCGAAGATACAGCCGATTATAATGTAGCTAGCACTGAACACAACGTAATTACCACAAAACCGATCAAAATGCCGTTAAAACAATCTTTGCACGTGTGTGTAACAACCCTCGTTACTATGGTTACTACGCAACTTCCTATTTGTCATCTAATTTGCACGTGGGCGGTCGTGCATACATACAGACAAAAATAATTCTCTGAATTATAGTAGAGATGATATGATGATGCCACTTTAACAATCTCAAGATGTAAAACGGTCCCTGGTTGAATTTACCGAAGTGAAAGTAATGATTATTTTGACATTGAGACACTCTAGTCTCTATTATATCTTGAATCTTCATGATTTGAGCAAACCCGTTTCCAATTCCAGCCATCTAAGTGGTGTACATATTACTATAAGTATAAGTATATTGTTGATTGTATTGTCGAAGCGTCACTTCTGAGTATTTAAGCAGTTCAGATGGCTGCACGACTTCCAGGCCCCCTCTATTATTAGGGGTCAGATCATATGACGTATAATTAGTGATGTGACGTATAATTAGTGATGCGATCCACCAACTACGATTTACAGAACATGTGAACTCTACCCTACATCTAGCCCAGTTTTACCCCTTACTTTTTATTTAAATTAACAAGTCAATACACATTGCTAGAGTATGTTGAGTAGAAAGAACAGATATCGTGGAGTTGGGTATGGCAATTCCTTCGCCTCTTACTCTTAGTCTTAGCGGGTGTCTTGCCAACACTCAACCTGTCGATGTGAAAGTCAGTTATGACTTGCTGCTCTTTGATAGCCCGCACATACTCTTGAACAGATGGCTTTGGGCGATGCACTCGGGATTTAAATCCTCTGTGAAACTGAAAGCCCTCAACCATGTTCGAGGTTCGAGGGAACTCTGGCTCCCGAATGATTCTGGCGAAATGGTTCCAGAATCCTATGGGATATGCAGGGAGCAGCCTCACCTCACTGTCCACAATGACTGACCCAAGGTAAGTCTTCTCGAAATAATTAACTATAGACATTAGCTTAGGAAAGTTTGTCTGTATATAGTACGTTATTTAATGAACTGCTATGATGTACATGTTGTACATGTGAACTCTACCCTGTATCTAGCCCATTTCTAGGTCAGTTAAATCCTACTGATGGATCACATCACTAATTATACGTCACTAATTAGTGATATGATCTGATCTCCCTGGCCCCCTAGTAATGAGGCCGAGGGGGCCTGGCCCGGGCCGTCGGCCTCCCATACAACGTATGACAAGAATCACCCCCATGACGTAGTTAAAATGCTTCCCTGGAGAGTTATGGGCAAAAAACCGTTTTGGTCACGTGACATGCTAGCAAAATACGAATTCGATTGTTTAGGGCCCGGGTTAGGGTTGTGGTAAGGGTTATGGTTAGCTTCGGGGTTCCGGTTATGGTTAGGGTTAGGGTTGGGATTAGGGTTTATGTAAAACCGTTTTGTACGGCTGCAAAACCATAACACATAAAAACCAAAGTCACGTGAAATTTTTGGGCGAGCGAATTAGTAAAACTAAAAGCCCCAAGGCTAAGTAGTGAAGTCAATCGGGATTCCGGAATCCCGGGATTTCCGGTTGGGAATTCCCGACCGTGAAATTATCTCAATTCCCGACTTTCGGGAGTTTCAATATTTGTATTAAATTTGCAGTCTTAAAATATTCGAATAAATTTACTGCAATATAGTTACACGGTAGCGTTAATATAATCAGGTTTTTGAACGTCGTGGAGACTGTTTAGCCTGTATCACTATCGTCAAGGTTAAGAAAAACAAAAATAAAACGCTATATATTATGAGTTTCTAGACGAAACAAAAAATTCATCCAGCAGTCCTGAATGCTGAAGCCAGCCAAAAAAAGTACCAACACGTATCTCTATTAAAATGGAGATGAGTTGTTTCTCTCAAGGGGAAGATCCTGGCATATTTTATGAACGCTGCTATAAAAACGGTCAGGCCGTCCTGATAGTGATCGATTGAGCCTGGACTGACCTTCTCAACAGCTGGAAGGATGCAGACAAAAGTCCGTAATACTAATAGAATGGGCCCAAGTTGTTAGTGCAATAGTACTACTATATTTAAGACTACTATTATAGTAGTCTTAAGGTACTATTTATGAAAAGAAGGCTAATGATGACACTTGTGGTATCTTCTTGTGACACTGACATGATGAGGCAGCTTTAATTCAAATTGTACTATTGAACTTAAACAGCCTACAAGTACAAGTTACCATAAAATTAAAAGTTGGGTCATGGCATGGACATGACGTTATTACACAAAATGGGACTTGAAGATGAGCGCCATTTGCTTTCGGGAATCCCGATTTTATTTCCCGATTTTCGGGAATCCCAGGATTTTTTTGCTCGGGATTCCCGAATCCCGGCATTGATTATTTTGATCGGGATTGACTTCACTAGTCCTAAGTAGATGACCTCTTATATTTTATTACAGCTCACCCTTTGGGGGGGGGGGGGGGGGGGGGGGGGGGGGGCCAACCATATTAAAGTATATTAAAATGTAGGATTTTTTCCAATTTTGACCCGGGGATATACTTTAATATACTTTAATATAGTTATACTTTAATATACTTTAATATACTTTAATGTACTTTAATATACTTTAATATACCTACATTTTCTCCATTAAAATTTTGAATCCATGTTACTTACCATATACTTGACCAATTTATGAGCCTCCCATACAACGTATGACAAGAATCACCCCCATGACGTAGTTAAAATGCTTCCCTGGAGAGTTATGGGCAAAAAACCGTTTTGGTCACGTGACATGCTAGCAAAATACGAATTCGATTGTTTAGGGCCCGGGTTAGGGTTGTGGTAAGGGTTATGGTTAGCTTCGGGGTTCCGGTTATGGTTAGGGTTAGGGTTGGGATTAGGGTTTATGTAAAACCGTTTTGTACGGCTGCAAAACCATAACACATAAAAACCAAAGTCACGTGAAATTTTTGGGCGAGCGAATTAGTAAAACTAAAAGCCCCAAGGCTAAGTAGTGAAGTCAATCGGGATTCCGGAATCCCGGGATTTCCGGTTGGGAATTCCCGACCGTGAAATTATCTCAATTCCCGACTTTCGGGAGTTTCAATATTTGTATTAAATTTGCAGTCTTAAAATATTCGAATAAATTTACTGCAATATAGTTACACGGTAGCGTTAATATAATCAGGTTTTTGAACGTCGTGGAGACTGTTTAGCCTGTATCACTATCGTCAAGGTTAAGAAAAACAAAAATAAAACGCTATATATTATGAGTTTCTAGACGAAACAAAAAATTCATCCAGCAGTCCTGAATGCTGAAGCCAGCCAAAAAAAGTACCAACACGTATCTCTATTAAAATGGAGATGAGTTGTTTCTCTCAAGGGGAAGATCCTGGCATATTTTATGAACGCTGCTATAAAAACGGTCAGGCCGTCCTGATAGTGATCGATTGAGCCTGGACTGACCTTCTCAACAGCTGGAAGGATGCAGACAAAAGTCCGTAATACTAATAGAATGGGCCCAAGTTGTTAGTGCAATAGTACTACTATATTTAAGACTACTATTATAGTAGTCTTAAGGTACTATTTATGAAAAGAAGGCTAATGATGACACTTGTGGTATCTTCTTGTGACACTGACATGATGAGGCAGCTTTAATTCAAATTGTACTATTGAACTTAAACAGCCTACAAGTACAAGTTACCATAAAATTAAAAGTTGGGTCATGGCATGGACATGACGTTATTACACAAAATGGGACTTGAAGATGAGCGCCATTTGCTTTCGGGAATCCCGATTTTATTTCCCGATTTTCGGGAATCCCAGGATTTTTTTGCTCGGGATTCCCGAATCCCGGCATTGATTATTTTGATCGGGATTGACTTCACTAGTCCTAAGTAGATGACCTCTTATATTTTATTACAGCTCACCCTTTGGGGGGGGGGGGGGGGGGGGGGGCCAACCATATTAAAGTATATTAAAATGTAGGATTTTTTCCAATTTTGACCCGGGGATATACTTTAATATACTTTAATATAGTTATACTTTAATATACTTTAATATACTTTAATATACTTTAATGTACTTTAATATACCTACATTTTCTCCATTAAAATTTTGAATCCATGTTACTTACCATATACTTGACCAATTTATGAGCCAAAATATATGAATTATGAGTTCAGAGGACTAGCAACTGGCTTATCTTCTAATCTACTAATTGTAGGTATATTAAAGTATATTAAAATGTAGGTTTTTTTTACAATTTCGACCCGGGATATACTTTAATATACTTTAATATACTTTAATATACCTACATTATAAAAAATTATGTGAAAAATTTTGTTTTATTTAATGTATAGATTAGATTTACCTTTCATGTAAGGTTAGTCTTGTTCAAAGATATTGATACTTGACTAATTTATGAGCCAAAATATATGAAGTATGAGTTCAGGGGACCAGTAATTGGCTTATCTTCTAATCTACTAATTGTAGGTATATTAAAGTATATTAAAATGTAGGATTTTTTCCGATTTTGACCCGGGGATATACTTTAATATACTTTAATATGGTTGGCCCCCCCCCCCTTTCTTAGTTTGGTATGCTTAGTTCTGCACGGTGTCATAATTATTGGCACGTAGACAATTTTCGATTATAATAATTCTCTTTACTTAAGTAAAGTTATGACCCGTTGGAAAATATTGATTTCATCATAAAATACACATAAAATTTCAAACACGCCAATAATTCTGACACCCTGCTGTATAAGTATTACTATTATACAGGCAGTATTTAATTAACCTGGACGGACTGTAATGCCTACTGGAAATTTTGCAGCGCCAGCAGCCATCTCCGATAAAGCAAGGGGTCGTTCACATATTACGTAATCAGCCGAAGGGGGTTTCCAAATGATTACGCTAGTATAATTTTTACACAATAGCTATGTGTAAACCTGATTACGGAGGGGGGAGGGCAAGGGGGTTACAAATTTTCCAAAAAGTAATATGTGAACGACCCCTAATAATCTGATATGTACAAGAGAAACGCCAAATTATTTGTGTTCAAAAGTAATAAACATTTTTAACATACTCAATACTATTCTCACATTGGGGCACCTTCAGCACTGCCACTAACATGGTCGGACAACTATAAGTTCAGCCCACGACGGTAGTAACACAAAAATTTACAGCATCACAACACTCGGTTGATAATTTTAATGAAAACCAAACTTCGTGATGTGAAGTAGAAATCGAGAGTTTAAGTGAACGATATTTATTAGCAACAAAAAGTTAATCCATTAAGTACTTAATTACAGATTAAAGTTTATTGTAAAGGGGTTTTCCACCAATTGATTGCTAGACATCTCGAGAGTCAAGAAAGTAAATATCTAATCCCCAATTTTGTTGGGACAAAAATTTCCCTTACACCGTAGCATGAACTTGAATTAAGTAGCTCAAATGATGATATGGTAACCACAGCAGGTAATTTAGCAACGTCCCTGAGTCCAGAAACTGTCCACATACAGGCAAAAGCTCTCCATAAAATACTAATGGAATTTGACCAAAATCATCTTCATTTCTTAGTTTGCTGTTTAGGGAACATTCTCTGAAATCCCAGTCAGACCTTTGTTATAAGCTTTATATTATGGCTTTGTTTTGTAGCCTGGACCTCTCGACCTGAACCTAGTCCTATCGAGCTTGCAAGTGACCATCTCGCCAACTAACTTGGCTTAGTGTTGGGCTTATTGGACTCCTTATACACCCAATGGTCCTGTACCCGTCCTGTTATGTGACTCACATGTCCAATGATGCTTACAAGCCACCACTATACACCCGAAATAACCCAAATCTAAACATTAAGCAGACAACTGTACAAATATCCATACGAATAAAACACACGATCCATTATTAACATTAATTACTATCCATCATGATAACTTAGCCAAGATCAAAATAAATTGAAGCATGCATGTCGTCTCTCAACGGGTTATTTTGTCTTCTCGATCTCGGGGAAAAATCGTTGTCTGGCAGATAAAACCGGTATAAAACTAAAAATTGCCCTTTAATCAAATGACGATAAAATAACTCACATAATGAGCGGGTCATGTCGCAGCTGGTCGGAAATCAAACTTGTAAATAAACACGTGACATGACAGAACAACTAACGGTTCTGATGTATCGATAGTGCAAAAAACGGTGATCACGTGTAAAAATAAAACCTTTCTTGGCTCCAAACCAGCGGAAACATTTATACATATTATTATCAATAGAATACAATACAAACCTTAACCCTGACCTGCTAAATAGACACTGCTGAGTATATTAATATCATTATTATCAGAACTTCGGAACGAACAACAACCGACATTCTACAATAATCATGACAATTTGGTTCATCAATCATAATAAAAATGTTTCACAGCCTTTTATATGACGGGTTTAATTAGAGACATTTTTAGATGTACATGGTTTTAGATTACCTACAGTGACGGTGCTAGCTGTAAATAGAAAATGAAATCAAATGAGAACTAATTTCTTTTCATCTAACAAAAAGGAAACTAGAAAACAGAACTAATTTGGATTGATACGGATATAATGAAAGAAGTTATTATCATCCGTGTAGTGAAAACCTGGTCATTATCGAATTTGAGCAACAGGTTTAAAGAGAAGAAATCATTATCCATGATCCTCGTTTCGAACCTACCGATTGAACAGGATTGCCAGCTCAAAAAGCCAAAAATATTAAGAATCAGTGAACAAAACACATAGATGATAAGTTAAAACTAGTCCTTAATGTGACTGTTGGTACGACCAAAGAAATCGTTTACTCGATCACACCTTATCGTATTATAAGTTCTTTTAAATACTAAAACATATTTATATCGATTGATAGAAAAATCAGAAAAAAAATAACAGAAAGCGACAATTAAAAATCAGTTTTACTTTTCAGCGATAAAATTCCGTAAATATAGGACGCACAGTCAGGCGCAGGTTAGATTTTCTTGCAGTTGCACGAGGATTGCTTAGTCGTTGTTGTGCTGTGACGTCATAAGAACCACGCGGGTGACGTCATCAAAACCAGGCGTGTCGTCGTAACACGACGATATCACGACGACACATGACAGAGCAATAAAGACGGAAGAGCACATCTTGGAAACACATCGTTTGGTCACATTTCTTTGTACATCTGATGATCGGGTTCCTATAGCTGAAATAAATGATAATTGGAGATAAATGATTGAAGCTAATAGGGAAATTAATTTAGCTAAAAAAAGACTGTCCAGATTTGACTGCTGTTGGAAATGTGTTAATTGTTGGACTGTAGGTGTTTAAAGTATGTTTGAAAACATCGTGACAGACTTAATTAGCCAATATGTAAGCCTAGCATTTCACTTAAAATAATTGAAGAAACTTATAACCATTAACTTGATCAATTAAATAATTAATTAACTTACACAAGTGCGAAGCGCTAGTCGGGACGACTGTTGATGTGTTCGTGAGCGATCTGTTCGGAGGGAGAGCCAGGTATCTGGCTAGGAGCTTGCCGAGCTAGCACCATCCCGTCCATCTGACCCGCTTGTGCAGCCCTGAGTTTACATTGCTCAGTACAAACTCAAGAATTTATGAAATTTGGGCACGATGTGGTGAAAGAATTGAAAGATGATGTCAAAATTAAAGATGATAAAATGAAAGATGAACCCTTGAAAAGATTGTTGAAATAAATACGAATACTTAGGATCTTACATTCGGCAAGAGCTTTGTTTTTTATACCATGAAGAGTGTGGGAACTGATTGTGGAGAGGTGCAGGGTGGGAGACTATGTTTTGATTGAACATGTTTGAGGGTTGAATGTGGTGAAGGCTGGAGGAATTATAGATAGGTATTTGACTAGGAAATTGAGCAGGAGCTCGTCGAGCTAGCACCATTTCGCTCATCTGACCATCTTGTGTAGTCCTGAGTTTATGCATCGGTCAAAATTTCGGGAGAGCGATGATTACCCGACATGATTAGATCGGCATTTACCCGAAAAACGTTTTATTCACCACAAAGGAAGCGGAGTAAACTTTTCGACATTTTATCAATGGTAAAAATAAGTTCGCCATAAAAATTGTTCAAATTATAATTTCCTCTTTCAACCGCGATACAAAATTTTATATTTTCGCTTCCACACAAATTATTGATATCTGATTCGAAAAGCTAAAAAATTCGATGGCGAAAAAAGCGATCCACAATAAACACTATACACCTGAACGTTTCTGGAATTGATAAATGTAGTGAAAGAATGACGAATGAACTATGAACCCAAAAGATTGACGAAATGAGGCGGATAATCATTTGTTAATAAGGATCTTACAATCTACGAGAGCTTGATTTCTTTAACCATGATGAGTATGGGAACTGATTGTGAAGTTGGGGTGCAGGTGAGTGTTGGGGTGATTGGTATGTGACGTTTTGAAACATTTTTATGGGTCGGTATGGGCGAGGTTTAGTTACTTCAGACCTGCGAATGAATGGTGAGAAATAACTGACATATTATTTTCTAATGCAATTTAAAGCGTGTACAAATGTCAAGACGAATAGTGAATTGAACGTAGTTATGTCCCACGTTATACGCTGTAATTGATTGACAAATTTGTGATATTTCAAAGGCACAACAAAGAAAATTGAAAGGAGTCATGATGTGAGACTTAGTGCAAGCTCAATGATGAGATGGAGTAACCAAAACATTTCTGGGGGGGGGGGGGGGGGGGGGGGGTTGCAACGACCATTAATGACCATTAATGACCATTAATGACCATTAATGACCATTAATGACCATTAATGACCATTAATGACCATTAATGACAATGTCAGTTTTGTCAAAATTTCATCTACTGACATTAATGGTCATGTTTTTCCGGCACTTCTTAGAGCGAAAAGGACGGACGCCTGCATCACTTAGACCCTACTTTAAGTTAACTAACTACAAGTATATGTTATTATTTTACATTTACAATTAGAGATTCGAAAGAGAAAACTTAGAATAGAATCTTCCGTGGTTAGGCAGACCTTCCAGAATATCACTTGAGTGGATTCCAGAGTGAGTTAGGGATTACATTTATTAAGTTCGAATGTAATGAAGAACAAATTTTGCGGCCACGGGATTTAAACCAGATAACAGTTGGTGACTTATAGTTATCAATAATAATAATTCAAAGGGCAATTTAGGAGTATCAGATCGTATCAATAGTAACTTTATTACTAGGTGGAGGTGACGTTATTGAGACTTTGGGCAGCCATAAACCTCGTGTTTTAAAAGTTGTCCTCTGTACTTGTTTCACTGACCCACGCTTTATAGCATTTATACATTTCGGCCCATTTTATATGTTTGTTCGATTTGCTGTACATTTGTATATTTGCTATTTTGTAAAAAAAGTTTCAAATCAACAATCAATAATAAAATAATAATAACACGGGTATTAAAATTAAATACTTCGTTCCCGTTCTTATATCATATCAAGATTTATATTTTAGCCAAATCATTATGCTAGTCGATTATATAGTAATTACACAGTAGATGAACTTATTAAACTTTAGCACTTCATGAAATACATCGTCATCAGTCTGAATCGGACAACAAAAAAGCTGATCTTTTCCTAGGATTAGATAGAACAATTCGTTTACAGTTCAATACTCTGCCTTCGGCAGTTTTGACCCAAAATCGAGCACTGTCGTCATGATAGGGACAAATTGATGCGGCAGGAATTCGTCTAGATCTGCAGTTGCCCTTTTTTGAAGCAGAGACACTCATTGATAAGATGGTACCGAGGCAACGAAGGGGACGTTTAGCCTTTTTTGGAACAAAGGTAGCACTTAATGAGTCGCCCTTTTGAATTGTTCGACGTTGACAGGGCTTAGAAGAATTTTTGCTGCCCGGTTGGTATGGCACAGAATTGAACCCTCGAAACAGCCGGTACCAAAAAATTTCGATCTCCGACTTTTATTTCCAAATATCGTCTTACCAAAATTACAGAACTTCGTAATAGCGGTGTTTTTGTTCATTTTCTTGTTTTTTATAGTAACTAAGTCATGAAGATCCTTGGCTTCACTTTCACTATCTGGTGCGACGAAATCTGACTCATTATCTGATTCCTCTTCTCTTAAGATTATACAAATAAGTAAAAGAAACTGATTCAGCATTCGCTTAAAATATTCTAATTACTATTAAACTTTAAAGTAAATAATAATAATAATAATAATAACGCTTTATTTGTATACCGCTTAGGCCGTATAAGCGACCAAAGTCCAAAAAATGGAGTTGATACTGGCCAACAAAGCGGTGCAGATAAATTTACCTTAGTAGTCCCTTTTCTAATCAAAAATTCAAATTTATAAATTGTAGATTGATCTTAAAGTCCTGCGTCCATGACTACTGAATCACCAAAAATACTGTTCGCACATACAGGATAGGCTTGATGAAATAGATGGGTCTTGAGAGCCTTCTTGAAAACATCTAGTCGAGAGATGGAGCGTAGTGAGTAGGGAAGTGTATTCCAGATTTTAGGAGCAGTGTGAGAGAAAGCACCAGCTGTAGCCCTCAGCCTTGATAAAGGAGGGAGTAGGAAGAAGTCATGGTCCATTCTGACATGATGTTTACTAGTGTCCCTAATTTTGACCATTGTCCTTAGATATTCAGGAGCACAATCGTTTAGGCACTTGAAAACCAGTAACGCTATCTTGAATTTGATTCGCATTGCTACAGGTAAGAAGTGTAATTCAATCATATAGGGTGTGATGGGCTCCTGTCTCAACTTCCCATGAAGTCCGAATATGAATCTCACAGCAGTATTCTGCACTTTTTGAAGTTTCTGGAGAAGTCGTTCAGAAAGGGCACCATAAGTAGCATTTCCATTGTCCAGAATGGAATGAATTGAAGCATGTACCATTTGGATTTTGAGCTCCTTACTCAGTTTGGAACCTATTCTGCCAAGATTTCGCTGATTTACATAACAAACTCTGACAACGTTGTTGATCTGTGCCTCTAAATTGAGATGGTTGTCAAAAATGAATCCCAGATTCTTTGCTGACTTGGTAGGTTTAATGGAGCATATGCTGTCAAGATTGAATTCAACTTGTTTTGGAGCTTTGGAGTTTGTAGAGATCTCGATTATCTCACTTTTATTGTCGTTGAGTTTCAGGTAGTTCTCACTCATCCATGATTTGATGTGCTCGAAACATTCTTTCAATTTGCTCTTCATAGATTCAATGTCCATGTCTTTCTTAGGATCAAATGAGAAGTATATCTGAGTATCATCAGCATATAGATGGATTTGGAGACCATGCATACTTGCAATATCTTGTAGCTGTTTAGTGTAAAGGATGAAAAATATAGGACCAAGAATTGAGCCCTGAGGAACTCCAATCTCGAGGTCACAGAGAGAGGAATATTCACCCTTAACACCAACGATAAAGGATCGATTTGACAGGTAGCTTGCAACCCATTGAAGAATAATACCACTAAATCCATAGCTATGTTCGAGTCGTCTCAAAAGTCTTTTGTGATTGATGGTATCAAATGCAGCTGACAAGTCAAGAAGAAGAAGAACAGTATGACTCTTCTTGTCAACTTGGAGGAGTATATCATTATGTACCTTGAGCACTGCAGTTTCACAGCTCATGTTTTTCCGGTAACCTGATTGATTTGCTGCGAAAAGATTGTTCTTATTGAGGTACTCGGAAAACTGTGAGTGGGCACACTTTTCTATAACCTTGGAAATAAAACTGAGGTTACTCACAGGTCTATAGCTTTTCAAGTCGTCTGCATCTAGAGAGGCTTTCTTTAGGACTGGTCGTACTATAGCAGACTTCAGAGCATGTGGAAAATAGCCCTCTTGGAGGGATAGGTTAACTATGAGGGTGATATGAGGGAGCAATTCATCGAGACAGTGCTTGAGGAGCCATGTTGGAAGAGGATCGAGTTCACACGACTTATTATTCATCGTCTTAGTAATCAGGGAAAGAACCTCTGATCGAGTAACTAATCTGAAAGCTGTAGCAGAGCATGGTAGAGAACTATGTGTATCATTAGGCATCTCTAACTCTTTTACACAAGGTTTGTCGTCAGATTGACTATCAGCACTGGACAGGCTTTCCTCTGAGATAGACCCATAAATCTTCTTTACTTTATCGTCAAAGTAGTTTTTGAGACTTTCTGCAACTGCTTGATGCGTGGGCCCAGAAGGGGACTTCTGAGAAAGATCTTTATCCAGAAGGTTATTTATAATTCTGTATGTAGCTTTTGGATCTCCTTTAGCATCTGTAAGTCGTTTCTCATAATAGCGATTCCGTTCTCTAGAGATGATTAAGGTAGTATCTACACAAGCTTCCCTGTAGATTTCTCTATAATCTTGAGCATCAGCCATACTTTTATGCTTCTTCCAGAGTCTTTCAGCAGCTCTGCGCTTTTTACGGGCATCATTGCAGTTTTCATTCCACCAGTCACTACGACCAGGTATAAAATAGATGTTCTTAGCTGGTGCATGCTTATTAAGAACTGAGGATATAACAGAATCGTATTTGTCGACTGCGTCATCTAAACTAGTTAGCTGGGATGGAGATGGCATGTGGAGTACAATGTCAGCTTTGAAAGCATCAATATCAATTTTGCTAAACTCACGAACTGTTTTTTGTTCCTTACTTGGCTGCTTTGATGACACATCAATCTCGGGTGCACTAAACTTAACCAGGAAGTGATCTGACGTTGTGCCCGTGTCTTCCACAATTTCAAGCTCTGTGATGTTTAAGTTGTCAGCCGGTGATTCCAATGTTAGCACTAGGTCCAGTGTGCCGCCAGAGATGTGTGTTGGTGAGGAAACATGCTGCTTCAAGCCTTTTGAATGACAGAGTGCCATGAATTGTTTAGCCCAATAGTCTGGATCCTCTACATGAAAGTTGAAATCCCCTGCTAATATAGGAATACCAGATTTAGTTATCAAGGTATCCATGTAATCAGAAAACTGTTCAAGAAACAATTTCTTTCGGGTTTCTTGATATTTCTTATGAGAAGAAACTTGAGTTGATCGATAAAGGACACAAAATCTGATCAAGTGAGATTTTGCTCTGAAGACAGTTTCCAAAACCTCAAAGGAACTAAACTTCACACTGTTTCTTGTCAGAGAGACAACCTTTGGGTCATAGATGAAGGCAACACCGCCACCTCTCCCACGTCTTGGAGCACTAATAATATCATATTTGTGGTCTTTCACCTCAGCGATTTTGGCCTTATCATCAACTCTCAGCCAAGTCTCTGTCAGGAAGCATATATCCACGTTCTCTTCTCTCAGTAGCTCTAGTACAGATACCGTTTTGTTGCAAATGGATCTTGCATTAAAGGTTGCCATTTTCAGAGCATGGGGTGGACTGTGATGGTGTCCTGGTGTCACATCATGTTTTTTGAGTCATATTCTGTATTCATCACTAGCCTCTGCATCTCTCTGGCAATGATTGGACACTCCATTGATGCTGCATTATGGGACTTGTGCTGTGCTTTATCACTGGGATTCTTCGAGTTTTTGCACCTGGCACAGCACTTTGCTTCACTTTTGGACTTGTTACTGCAATCTTTAGACAGGTGGTTTCCTGAGCAGCGGAAGCAAGTTGGATCATCAACCTTGGTAGGACAGTTTGTAGAAGTGTGACCAATTCCTTGACAATGGTAACAAGAAACAACATGAACTCGATCGGACACAGGATGGCAGGTATTTCCAAAATAAAGAGCTCTTCCTTGGTCATTCATGATGCAAGATCGGATAGCAGGAGAGACTTTAAGTGCAAATGTGAAATACTTGCTATTTTCAGTAAAACGTGACATGTACACAACCTCCAATTTGTGACCAGCATCCACAAGCTTGCGTACTCCGTCATTTTTGGCCAAGATGGACGGTTTCAGTAGCGATCTGCACTTATCTCTTAGTTTATCATCATTGTCTGCTGTAAGTCTGCGGAAGGCATCGTCCCTATGGACGTTCTCTATTGTTAACTTTGGATACATCTTCTTTGCTTCACGCAAAGTATATCCCTTTGAAGAATCTTCATCAATCAACTGAGTAGCATTTTGCCTTGCCTCTGAATCAGGAAAACCAATAGCGATAGAGTTATTGGATTTGTTAACCTTTACAAAGTCCGTTTGTACTGATGACAATTTCTCACATACATTATTGCAAACGGACTCAGCGGACTCAGCTGTGACATCTTCAGGGGGAGATAATATAAGCACTGAACTCTTGGACTGGATCCTAGGACGAGGTGCCAGTTGCTGCATCTTTGGAGGACTGCCCATGGTAGATGCCTGGAATACCTCCTGCTGTCTTTCCTGCGACTTGTTAGTAAATAGATCGGACATAAGGAATTTTTGAGAGTTAGAACTTTGGGGCCCTGATGGACCAAGCTTAGCATCAATAGCATCATGAACACTTTTAAGGATATCCACTTTGAAATCTTTCATTTCACTTCTGAACTGATCACTGTCCATACCACCCGATCCAACCTGTTCAGAGTCTGTGTCATTACCCGTCTCAAAGGAGATCTTCTTGTTGTCGGTCAGATTACCCGTAGTTATGCAGTTGGGACAGAACCACCAGGTACAGGGGTTCTTCTCCATAGCTGCAAGGACGTCACTTGAGAGGGGAATTGTTAAACAGAGGTTGTGGTACTTAGATTTACATTTCATGCATTCCAAAAGCTGGTCACCCGGCTGAGCATTGCAGGATTTGCAAGCGCCACTTGAAGCAATATGACCTAATCCAGGGTCAAAATCTTGGGTTTTGGACCACGTGATTAGAAGCTTCCCTCGTGGGGTTCGCCCGTCAATCTTTAACTTTAAGCAATCAGTCATTGTAGTACTTGTATAGTACTTGTATAGTACTTGTATAGTACCGTTAAAGGCACAGCACCAACAATGTGCAGTAGCAGGGGCAACTGGCAGTTAAAAATTGCCGATATAACAGAGATAAGGGAGCTCTGTTTTCAACACGTAACAAAACTGCAAAAGATAAATCGTAACATCGAACCATTAGATTAAAAGCAGCCCTATACCAGAGTTGAGAAATACTTGCCATGGCAATGTTCGACGATGGCATAGAAGGTATTGTGAGGAGGTATTGAAAATCCAAATTATCAAAAGCAATCAACACAAACAAAGGAAATCAATACAATTCAAATCCACGCAAACTGCAAATAAGCATGTATACTAAGTCAACTGCAAACAAGCATTTATACTAAGTCAACTGTAAACAAGCATTTATACTAAGTCAACTGCAAACAAGCATTTATACTAAGTCAAATCCAAACAAGCAAACAGACAAGACAAGTTACCAACGTATAACAGAATGGTGCTTGGCACTCATTCCGAAACCGAGGTCCGAGCCTCTATTAGGCGAATATTAATTCGTTTTCTCAAACAAGACTCTGGCAATCTATGTAGGGGGCTGTGAGAAACTTTATAGAAGTGATACAAAGTGATCATAATTGTAAATTTCTTGGACATGTTGCTTCCAAGATAGTTGACCATTAATGACCATTAATGACCATTAATGACAATGTCAGTTTTGACAAAATTCCATCTACTGACATTAATGGTCGTTGCAACCCCCCCCCCCCCCCCCCATTTCTGACTAATTTATAAGAAATTTTCCGAACTTGAGGTGAATAATCTTACATCAGGTTTAAGGTTGGCTTCTGTTGCCCAGGTGAGTTCGGGTGACGTGGGTGAGGTGAGTGAGGAGCTGTGTTGTGATACAAGTTTGATGTTGGAATTGGTGGAATGTTGCGAGGTTTGGTTGTCAAATTCCTCGAACTGAACAAATATTTGTATTACATTCAATTCGAATTTAAACTCACTTTTATCATAAAATTCATCCACGAATGATATATAAGCTATGGCTAGGATAATGGGTGTTATGCCTCATATCTTACCTGTTTTGTTGTTCGCACTTGTACATGTGTTGTGGCCAGTGACCACGTTGGCAAGGGTAGCCACAGTAACTGGTGTTCCAGCAGCAGTGGTACATGGCTGGGCCACTACAATTCGCGCACTGTAGCAGGGAGATATGTCAGGTATGTTATTTCAAAACCCAGTAAAACGAACAATCACAAAATCGGATGAGGAGCCAAGGCCGATGTATGGGATTCAGTTAAGCGGAATTGAGTTATACATACCCATTGACTTTTCTTAGTTTCAACAATAGCTTTCTCTTTTTCAGCAGTCAGATGTTGTCTCAACTCCTCGATCTGTCTATCCTTCTCCGCCTCAAGTTGTACGCGCTGTTCCTCCATCGATGTTCGTAACTCCTCCTCGTGGCGTGACGAGTTCTCACTGGACGACTTGCTCTTACAGCTCCGGCACTTGTTCTGATAGAGCGGTGCATTTGTGAGTCAGCTGATCTCAAATAATTTCTTGGATTGATATTAACAACTTTCAAGTTGAGTCAAATTCAGAATGATTTTATGTTTATACTAGTACGTCATTGGTCATTGGTAGGTAGTAGCGCTATATTAACAGTGTAGATCCTATACATTATAATACCTTCCGGGAATTATATCCACTAAAACTCGGGGACACCGAGGGCTGATAATTTGCTCATTTTTCCCGCAAGAGAAGCGAGGGTATTATCAGCCCAGACTCAGACTGGCTGGCGGCAAGTTTCAAAACAAATAACACTGGCGTTCTATATATTAGACACTATATTGTATGATGCGCACGTATCGGATTACACCCCTTCTGCAATCGGAACCGGAACGTATTATAAAATATAATACCTCCGCAACTTCGTGCCCGCAAATTCCCTCCAGCAAGCTGTCGGGAATTATAGCGCGCAGCACTCAGTGGCGGAGGTATTATAGTATTATAATACACCATGTGCTAAGTAGTGGTAGGTGTAAGATTTAGGTCAGTAGTACTAGTATAGGGTTCTTTTAAGCTTTACTGGTAAATATGAAGATTGAAGTTAGATATAATCCGTCAACTTTCAAAGTATTATAAAAGCTCTTATAGTTATTTAAACAATAATTCTAAAAACACCTAATTTTAAAATCTCCCTTTGCTAATTCAGTGTGTATTGGTCTAAAGACGACAAATAAGAACTGACTACTGGCACTGCAAAATGCAAATACGAAGGTGCTAATTTAACATAATATGGCTATTATAATTCTGAACACGTTTTTTTAAATGCGATTACAATTGATCATCTAAAGACGTAGTCTGAACTTTGATATCATTGTGGTAATTCAATTTCTCGAAGCTGCAAGATTTCGCAGTTTTTATAAATTCCTGGGTGCAGATAATTATATTTATATAGAATTAAAATAGAATTAAAGTCTATGTACCAAGCGCTGTTCCAATCTATAAATCAGTTTTATATTGGGGAAACTATTTTAATTCAGTCTCGGCCAGGGTATCCGTATAAGTTATAAGATTTCAGTGATGTTTTTCCGTTTATTAATGTGATCTCGGAAGGCAGGCCTCCACTTTGCCTCCCCTTCAGCCGGATATCCGGTCGGTTCATAATATGGTAATTGATAAAATACAGTTGTGGAACACAAGAAGAAAATTGAGAATAATATTGTGCACGAGAGGAGGGACCCAGATGTCGTTTCTAACCCGAATAAACTCTAAGGAGGCTTCTCATTGGAACGAATGTAAATAAAAAAGGAGTCTCGGGGTTCACTGATAATAAAGGAAATTAAGAATGGTGCATTTATTAAAGTTTAAAGGGCTTTTCAATCCACAAAATGTAAACTTTGAAACAATTTGAATTAAATGCCGTACAGTGCACAAGGTGCAAAAAGATTCAATTGATCATTGAGCATCGAGTACTTATACTACTACAAAAGCGATAACTTAATTACATTTTATAATATTACTAGAAATACAGGGAGGAAGCTAATAGTATTTTTTGTTAATAAGTTTAAATCGCGTAAAAATTATCCTACACAACCGAAGATACAGCCGATTAAATTGTTGCTCGCACTAAACACAACGTAATATTAACAAAACCGATAAAATGCCGTTCGCCAATCTTTGCACGTGCACGTGCGTGTAATAACCCTCGTTGCCATGGTTACTTTGCAACCTTTTGCTTTTTACCTAATTTGCACGTGGGCGGTCGTACATACAGACAGACAAAAAGAATCTTTTGAATTATAGTAGAGATTCTAAATATTAAGTATGTATAATTTACCACGCGGAATATTTTTAACTTAACCCATTAGGGACGATAGGGTCGTTTTTATGACCCACCTTTTCTAGACAAAAAACCAAATTACTAAACGTTATAACGAATCTATAGCATATATGTTCAAAATTTATTGGGCTACATATAATGAAGCCCAATACATTTTGAGGATATATGCTATAGATTCGTTATAGCGTTTAGTAATTTGGTTTTTTGTCTAGAAAAGTTGGGTCATAAAAACGACCCTATCGTCCCTAATGGGTTAATATGTATCCTGCGTTGTAAATGTTGCGTTGAAAAATACCCTAGGGATTACTACTCACATCACGTTTGACCTCCAGTTTGAAAGTTTCTTTCTCCAGCTCAGCAGCCATCTTAGCCAATTCAACTGCTTTCTCAGCTTCAGTCTTATATTTCTGTTTAGTTTCCTCGAGCATCTCCTCAACCATACCGGATATTGCTTCCATCAGCTGAAAGATTTAAAGATGATAACTTTTAATAAAACATAATCGGCTATAAAGTATAAAGCGGACACATTATCTAACCAAATTAAGATTATGTATTCTCAAAGTGGGCAACTTTCGTCTTAAAAATTCTGCTTACTTTGTTCTGATATTTCCAAGCGTTGCATCCGTTGGAGGTGACTGAGAAGACTTTCTCAACGATATTGTCAGAGGGAGCCGAAGTGGAGTTATTAACCAAGTTGCTGTAACTAAAATAAAAAGGGGGAGTTACAGAAAAATATCCTTCAAATCTAATAAGTATACCGCCTAACTTAGCAAAACGTATTTTTAAGAACAGTTGTCAATCCTATCTTGACTTATCATTCATCAGTTTACAATAAGTTAGAAAGTTCAGGGAAAATATATGATGAACTGAAACTAAACCAACCTGGTAGATTTCTTGAAAGCAAGTTTCTGCTTGTTGAACTTCATTCGATCAGGTTCGATCTCGATCTTTATTTTATCGTCAGTTTTTCTTCTTTTGCCGCTGGGCTGTGGCGGTCTGTCTGCCTTCACAGGAGGAGTCCCTTTTAGCTCAGAATCTTCAAACTTAAAAGCATTGCTGATTCTTTCGTCTTTCAGCAAGGAATTACTGGATATCTTAAGTTTAGGAGCCTTGGAGACCGGTTCTTTCACAGGAGCTTTGTCTTTTTTCTTCTTCCGTGGGGCACTGTTCGCAGTGTTCTCACTGTTCCCCTTCTCACTTCGTTCTTCATCCTGGTCATCCTGGTCCACCTCATCTTTCACCTAATGGTGGAACAAATATGTTCAGGATTTGAAAAAATATTAGGTAATAATAAAAATAGTAATTTTGGGTATAAATGGCTTCATAAATCAACTAATCACTCATGGATAGTTTGGTTAAGATTTAAAAAAGAAAAGTAAAGAAATCTACATATTCGGATGAAATTTGAACCTTTTCAAAGTTTTCATAGTTTAAGCCTTGTACCTTGCTCAAATCAATAGGCCATCGGCCAGCTTTTTTGAGATTCTCCACGTATCGGTTCATTTCCTCCTCGGCCTGAACTCTGTTAGATCCTGCTTCCTTGTTCCGGTTCCCAGCAGGGGGCTCCTCGCTATAAACATTGATTTTAGGGCTCTCATTACAAGCAAGAGTCTCATCAGCATTCAACAACGGCCAACGTAACATAGCAAAATCTTAATATATTAAACAAAATATATGTCTACGATGGTATTTATTTTTACAGATAACATCGTTATCAGACGCGGATAAGACAGAAATACCTACTAGAACAAGAATAACATCTTCAACATTTAAAAGAAGACAAATTTACCTGATGTCCAGAGTGTTGCTCTCGTGGACCCACGCCCGTTCGTGCTGCCCAAAGAACCTCACGTCGATCTGTTGTCCCTGTCGCTGCAACACTTTAGCTGGCCAGAAAGGAAATCCTCGCAACTTAGCCCATACCAAACGATGAGTCTTTTTCTGGGAAGAAATACGAACTCATAATAACTGCTTACAACACTTAGTGTCATACCGGAGCCTAACGACAATATATCTAGACCGTCGAGACGAACGTCAAGCTCTCGGTCCAACTTTTTAGTTAATACAGTTAACAGAACTGATACCGGTCTCGGGTAAGAACTTCATTATGTAAGTGAATTATTTAAGAGGTAGGGATTAAGGTATTAAAGATTCCGGGGCCCGGCAGGAATTCCACAATTTCACGTGGAACACCCCCAATTTAGTTGCTACTCACACAGGGCCGAGTAAACCAGTCTTTATCAGCAGTACATGAGTTAAGGAAACAGTCTGGACAGAGGCTGATCTCCAACATTTCGTGCTGACACACGTTGTACACGGTTCGTGCCAAAGCTGTCAATCTACTCTTACCTGAAACACGCGGTACTTGTACTGATTTAGAATACACTTCTCTCCAGACAGATGTGTCAGACGGCATTTTGCTGCCGTAAAATCTTAACTGCTCATGCTGCCGTTAAATTTTAACTCAAGCAATGTTTAAAATGAAGTTTGGTTGAGAAAAACGTTATCTTGGACGTGTGTTTCCATTTAATTGTGAGCTTACCCCCGTTAAAAATAATACAGTTGTGTAGAATCCACCGGCTATTGTCAAGGAAGTGTTGAGTGCATTGCCATACTCCTGCCTTCGCTTTCTGAAATGTAATACAGTAGAGATAGTGCCATTTTATGTAGGGTTAAGGATCGAACCCTAATTCTTATGGTGATCAAATTACATAATTTCAGGACGGATAACCGAAAGTTTGGTAACAGTCTGTTATTGAGTTTTCGTCACCAACCTGTCGTATGGTGCCCATATCCATCGGATAGTGAACAAAGTCAAAGTAGTTGGGAGCCACTTCAGTAGTCACGGGTTGTTGGAAAGCTTCAGTGCCACTACTTGACATACGATCGAGCGCATAGGGCAGCATCTTGGCAAGGTTTGTTCGGCAGCATTTGGAGCGGTCCCCAAGCTTCTTACACTCCTCGAGATGCTGTGAATATATCGATAATTATTTATGTGATGACGAGAAAAGAATAACATATGTAACAGGAATATTTGTAGGTGACTTAACAAAAAATGAGATTAGACTGTGTAACAACAGAACAAATTGCGCTCAGTTGGGTCAAGAAATAAAACATTCTCTAGATCTAAACTTACAGCACAACACGGACAGATCCAATCATCGTCGGGTTCTTCTGATAGAGGAACACACTTCATGTGGAAGACTCGAGGACATCTCTCACAGCATAGCATGTTGCCTGTGTGGTGACATATCCAACAATAGCAGTCGTTCTTCATCTTCTTGTCCTGGAACAAAAATCTAGATTAAAATATGTCCGAGGAACAATTATAATTTGCACTGTAAAAAAATTTGTAAAAAATAATATCACCACAATGATAACAGGCAGGGTTTAGTGAGTACTATAAACCTCAGTTGAAACACCCAATAATAAACGAACCTTCTCCCTGTTTTTCTTGTCCTTGTACTGTATAACGACAGGACCAGCCACCTCGACAACCATACCATTCTGCTTGGCGGGGGATGTGGTCGGCGAATCTTCTACATCAACCTCCATCTCACCGGGCGAGCTCTAAAAGAAATAGTCGCCGGTATAGTAACAGTTAATTTATAAAAAGGAAAATTTAGCTGTTTGAGATAATATGGTATAAGTCTCCATCGGAAGTGATGTTAAAACATGTACGAATATAAAATCATTTCAACCACATTTCAACAAGTTGAAAACCAGCTAAATTCTTAAACAACACAACAGAATTAAAGTTACGAGAGTGCTAAATCACTCTACATTCGAACTTCGAGATTTTTCAAGTTTTATCATCACATCTAAAGTTAGAGAATAGCTGAAAAATCACGAAACAACCTGCAGCATGGCATCACATGTTGTACTGTTTCAGTGCAACGAGGTTGACATAGAACTTCACTTCAAAACAAATACAAGATAACAATTAAAACTCACCGAAAAAATCGACTGATCTTTGTTTTGCTTCAAATGCATCCGCGAAACATCACGGCAGGCGGCACTTCATAAATTCATCGAGCTAGGAGGGGAAATCATGAGGATATTAAAAGAGCTAGCAGCAATATAAAAGAAAGAAGTTACTTTTGCTAAATGCGGAACAAATTAAACTAGGATTTTAATTTTAGATGCGATCACAATGGGGCTATGACTTATAAGGATCCGTCAATTACGTAATTGGTGGCAACGCGCGCGATATTTTGCACTGCGCGATCCCCAAATGCCATACGCAAACTTCTTTATATTGGTACAGAACGCTAATTACAAAGCAAACTGGCGTTATTTTCGAAAAAGTGTGCCCGAAAAGCCAACTAAAATTCAAATTTAGAGTTGTTTTTAATAAGGACATAATTATCCGTGTATTAGACAGCAATTAAATATTATGCGAACGTTTAAAAGGTAAATAACTGATTATCCATCAATTACAAGTCAGCAAAGATATACAAAATCGGGATCAACGCAGCCACACATCGATTAAAACTCTAGACCTTCAAGTTGCAAAAAATTGCCTTGGTCCTATCTTGACTGTATACGAAAGTAAATGGATTTCAAAATCTAAGACTTCAGTGCAGAGTGAAGTCGAATATAAGCTTATAAAATTATTAACATGATCTCGGCTGAATAAATAAAACAATAAGTTGTGTATAAGAAGATGAGACGCCATGTTACTGAGGAGGGGGAGGCTGAGATGGAGGGGCGGGTGGTACCGGCGGTATTTGCACTCCGGGCATCGAACCTGCCATCTGAAACATACCGTTATTTTTAGCAAAAGAATAAGTATAATATTCAAGGAACAGATGACAAAGCGGTAAATTGTTACCGGAGGCGGTTTTCTTAGACAATATGATTATCTATATGGTCATATGGAGAAGTTATCTAAGAAGTTATCAAGTCATAGTCATGAACACTTGGCTTAAAGTTACTAAAGCTTGTTTACTAATGAGTTGTTCAGATAGAGAGTTCAGGCGTTTATCATCGTATTTACATTCAGGAAACGTGATCTACCATCCTTGGAAATACAAATGTACACATCTCTAAAACGAACAGTACAGTTACTGTTCATAAAGATGCGTAATAGTGCATTCTTAGGGTTTTTACTTTTGTTAAACGGGCAATTACATAAAAACCATATGTGATTCATTTTCTTTACATCAATTACAACTTCTTTTGTCTCATTTCCAATGGGTGTCAGCTGTTTGAAGTTTTCTTAGGAAAATAATTGGGAATTCAGGTAAAAAATTCGCAAAAATTGTCCATGTTCTTTAATATCACATAACTCAAATTTTCTTAAGTTTTATGAATTGAAACCTTTTCAGCGATTACATCTGTTGATTACAGATTTTAGACTGATTATAGACTGTAATTTTCAAAATGACGGAGTAGATTTAAATCCCCATCACTTCAAAGACCTTTTATTTATTTATTTTCATTTATAAGATAGATGTCTCCATAGTACATCAACATGAAAATTCTACGAAACATACTTTTTAAAGTATGAAAATTGAATTGATCAGATCAAAAGTGACGACCATTTGAATTTTTCTAAAATTACACTATTTCTATTCCAAATCTTTAAAATCACGAATCATTATGAACAGAGATTGTACGTACCCATGGCGGCATGACAGGAGGCATCATACCCCAGCTTCCAGCGCCTCCTGCGTTCTGTTCCCATGGAGCTGGCTCTGGGGGCTCTTCTGGAGGGGGAGGGGGTTTGGTAGAGGGAATGTTAACTGCTGGTGGGGGTGGGAATCCAGGGTAACCACCACGTGGCCCAAAGTTGTTACCGAAGTTGTTGGGCTGTTGCCAGGGTGCAGGGTTGCGAGGTGGTCCTCCTCTCGGCTGGAAACCTCCCCGGGAGTTGTAGCCTCCTCCACTGGGCCCACCGCGGTATCCTCCTCTGAATAAACCAACTTTAGTCCAGGCATAAAGAATTTGAAATACGATCTTATCTAAAGCATTCGATTTCACAGTGTGCATGAAACAAAACCGTGATCAATTGAAATATTATAACAATTGTTACTCCAGTTCAAATTACAGACCTGCTATTATTAGGTGGTCCACTTGAGTTATTGTTCTGCCAGGGAGGTCTGTTACCCTGGTAACCGCCTCCCCTACCAGGGGGACCGCCCCCTCTGGGGGGACCACCCCTGTTGTTAAACCCTCCTCTTCCTTCAGAACCCAATCCTGCGTACCGGGGCCTGGGCCCTCCTCCCTGCACGTTAGCTTGGCGCGGTGCAAACGACTGGGGGCCATCATGTCCTCCGCCTGGAGTTGAAATTGTTATTATCTTAGAGGCTGCTTTGTGAGTTTAACCAAGACTAGTTGCAACTATCTTTATTAGAATAGTCGAACGTGTTAATTAGTTATGTAACCATGGTTAGTCCATGAATAAACTAATCAGGATTGCAAGGGGATTCTGTATGACTAATTAACATAAGTAATTATGTGTTTATGTAAAATTAACATACCTGAAGGAGCAGGAGGAGGAGCGTTAGCTGAGGAGAGTCCAGCTCCCTCTTCTGCGACTCCCAACTCTGCCATCAGGGACATGTATTCACTGTCCATCTTAGCTTTGTCTGATTATAGAGGAACATACGTTATAATAAATCAGATATTTTCTTATTCTTGAGAATCCACTGAATCGTCAGAAACATTTAGAATTAGAATCAAAACAAAAGAACTGTATAATTTGAAAAAACTTCTCACCTGGTATAAAGTTATCAGTGTCGGAGAGGTCGACTTGACAATCAGAAGCAAGATGACCACCTCCACCACATCTCTGACACGTGACCATCTGGGTCACATTCCTATCTCCCTGACATTCCCAGTCCCTGTGATCCTGTAGAGGTGGTGAGGTTAGGGGTTACTGGTGAGGTTAGGGGTTACTGGTGAGGTTAGGGGTTACTGGTGAGGTTAGGGGTTACTGGTGAGGTTAGGGGTTACTGGTGAGGTTAGGGGTTACTGGTGAGGTTAGGGGTTACTGGTGAGGTTAGGGGTTACTGGTGAGGTTAGGGGTTACTGGTGAGGTTAGGGGTTACTGGTGAGGTTAGTGGTTACTGGTGAGGTTAGTGGTTACTGGCGAGGTTAGGGGTTACTGGTGAGGTTAGGGTTGGAGGGGGTGGTGATTGGTTATGGCTTCGTACTTCGTGGTGGCCTAGAATCAACCGTAGACTTCAGGTAACAGATTGATCCCAGTAAATTTTAAGTTCTGCTCACATATATTTCTTAGAATTCTGGCCCAACGCATCCTGTACTTAAATTTGGTAATTAATTAAACAAAAGTGTAGCAAGAAGTGCCCATTCGCGTAAACATTATTGAAATTATACGAATGAAGTGTAACTTTCAGTGATCTCAGAGGCCTATTTGATTTGACACTACAGTATATAATAACATGTATAACTAAAGTAAAATGAAACTTTTATGAACAGCATTAATGAAGCTCGATAAATTTCCCGGTAGAATCCAACGTTAAATTTGTTAAACAAGTAATACAATTAAATTATATCCTTCTAATCATGTCAAACATTTGATTTTATAGTGACAGATACAACAATGCTGTGAATACTACACTTTCCACATCGCTTAACGAAACAATATCCCCGCTAATAACCAGGTAATAGCAACCACGCCCTCTTACACAACAATACATATCAACATACATATCAACATAATATCAGCATACATGTTATTTCAACACTTACCAGCGCACCACAGTTCCTGCACTTCAACATATCTTCATCCCTCAGGGTTCCGTTGAGAAGTGCCAACTCTCGCATTTGTAGTTTCTTCAATTCGTTAGTATTGTCGGGTGACTGTATCGCATCGTTTATAATGGAGGTTATCTGGAAATTGAGATTCACGGTTTAAGAGATGGATTTCTGAGGAAAACAGTTTGTTTTAATACCATTATATCCGGTAGTGTGGAGTGACATGGTTTGAAGGGGACACCGAGCTAGTATATAATGATGTTAGCGGCTTCAATTTGGTTTAGAGTTCCCAATATTCTTTAATTTAAGGTCTATGGGTATTTAAAATGCGACATCCCTAAAATAACGTAATGTCTTTCAACAATATACGCCGTACATCAAAGCCGAATGCCGATTGAGCGATAACGAGATAGAGTCAGGTATTTAAAAGCACTGGTGTGGATGGTAATGGAAACTTATAAGTGATATGAAAGGTTGTTTGTTTCAGATGTTTTTAAATAAATTGTGTTAATTATCCAAAATAAATTGGGTAAATTAGCTAGGGACTCTTTGGGCCCCTGATGCAAACCCCGATCAGTAAAAAGACGGGGGTAAAAGGAGGATCAACACTTCTGTACTAGTAGTATCGCGAACAGTCGACTTCTTCATTACTGTAGGCTGGTTATTTTGTTACAATGCGACTGTTCTACAACCAAAGTAAGATGACTACTATAAATAGATTTTTAAAAGTTAAAAATTTAAAGAGTATAAAACATTATATTTAAAGTTTATAACAATGAAAAAAGTAAAGTACCCTCTTGATAGCATTGTGAAGTCCCTCCTCAGTCGGCGCTGATATAAGAGCGTGGAGATCCTCATCCTCACCGGGCATAGGGAGACCATCCTTCCTTCCCTTACCCTCCTTCACTGATCCTTTACCTGCAAACAACTTCAGTTAATGGAAATAACAAACTACTTCAGTAGATGACAATAACGCTGGTACTAGGCCACAACAACTCGGATACTAAGCCACATTTGGGGTTTGTTTAAGTTATTACAGTAGTAGTGGGCCCACGTGGGGGAGGCGGGGGTGTAGGACCAGACGGAGGCCTTATAAAACGTCTCAATAACAAAGGTAAGTTAAACTGCTGTTTGTACTGACGAGTATTACAATATACACACTTGCTGTTACCCGTTACAAGGGTACATTATAACAAGCCGAGTAAATTGAGCAAGTTACCGAATGGAGTAGTACTGCGAACTCGGCAGTAAACAATGGAGAATTGACACCCGCACTTTCCAGGGCAACACTTCTAAATATAGAATAAATGCAGACCAATTTTATAGTTATTGAGCCAAGTTGACGAGCGAAAAATTACTTTTTGGGAGACATTATTCTCTGCAAACACGTACACTACATATATTATACTAGTAATATACATATAATAGTCACATACCTCGAATCATGATTTTAGTTCCGGTTTCTTCCTCTAGTTTCTTGAGGGAGTTTCCCCGGGGCCCGATCAGCAGGCCCATGAAGTTCACATTCGGATTGGCCATGACTGGAATCATCACTTTTTCCTGGTGTCGTACTTGTGGCACACTGAAAAGAAACGCCGTTAAAAGTACACAAATGCACTTTATACCAGTACTGTATTAGCTCTGTAGTATTAGAGATATATACACCACCTACAATGGACAGTAAATGTTATTTGTAAGGTTTAACGACTTTAACCTGTGTGGCAGTGAAATGTTTCGATAATCTAGACGTAATTCATATCTTTTTCTATTGTTATGTAATAAAATTAAAGATATAATCTAATGATACGTTGTCGTTAATTAATTTACGATTAAATGTCAGAGAAGTACATTAAACGCTAATTTTGGCAGTGATAGGGGATATATTATGTAGTGCAACTAAGTGGCTTTTAACAATACTTTTTTATATGATCACTGGTTTCTTTTAAAACTTATCACGGGTACGTTTAACATCATTCTGTATTAACTTGTATGTAATTGATCGATTTTAAAGATTTACATTTTTAGTAAGATCCGAGGTATACCTATCTTGAACACTAAATCAATTACAATGCAATATAAAATAACCCTCTAAGAAGTCTGACTCTAATTACTGCTAATTACTGCTACCAACATAAAAGAAATTTGTATGAATTCAAAATTGTATTTTACTCCTAAATTTTGTGTTACAGTCTTGCATATTTAAAATATAGCGATGCTTTGAATGAAATCACACAAATTTTGTCCCACCCCGGCCCGATCAGTGAGTGAGCTGCGAGGAGTAAGTCTATAACTAGCCAGTATAGTATAACCTTGGGTAGCAGTTTAATGGAACCCTTTAAAGAAAAAAACTTTTGACGAAATATTCCAAATTTAGTTTAACTTACTCTCCGCCAGCAGGCTTGAAGTTGGGATTGAGCCTCATCGCTTCCTGGATCAGCGCTTGACGCTCGTCTTCGAGTTTCTTACGTATGCGAAACTCGCGTGTGTTCAAGCGCTTACCCTCACTATTGTAGATTGGCTCTGGAGACGGCGATCTGTAAATCAGTTAACCGTTAAAAATCCGCCTACACAGAAAAACCTCGAGTAGATTCGATCCTAAATTATAATTATATGTTGATTAAGTTACAGAATATTGCGTTATGTCGAAGTGAAATGGTGGAACAGCGGTTGAGGGTCGGTTTAGTTTCAATTCAACCAGGCGAAGTCTTCATACGTTAGCTAAAATTTGGAGAGTTAAAAGCTAGGATCAGGGGTGGTTAGGAGTTAATAGTGTTAGAACTACATTAGTATTTTTACTGTAAGAGTTCTTTTAAGATTTTTCTATAATGCTGACTACGATAATCCTTGCAAATCACATCCAAAAAAGGAATGAAAGAGCCCTTCAGTTTCTTATACTGGGGTTACAAGACGTGTCCATTAAGGTGCAGTGTAACATTGTTTATTAATACAATATAAATACAATATTATGTGTGAAACAGAAAATATTTTTAAATGGGTAAGTTTCTTTAGAATTTAGATGTAGGCTCAACGTTATATTATGGTCACGAGATGGTCCAACCATTTCCCAGACAACATTCCTTCTCCACAAATTTTGGGCATTGTTTCATTTTAGCTTCTTTAAAAACTGAGCACAGTTCAACTTGGCGTAGGGATGAAAGATGCTAGGAAGTTTGTTATACCAAATCATCTTGAATTTACGTATCAAATAAAAATCAATGGCAATATGAGTATTTCATTTAGAATTTTAGTGAATATTTTCTGACAATTAGTAATGTATCACTATTTACATCAACTTCTTTTACGATATTCCTCATTTTAAAATAAAAATGTGTATTACATGAAAATTGCGAGAAAGTCTTGGGGATAATCCCAATTTTCGCTATCCATTTTGTTGGTTAAACGGAGGAAAAGGCAAAGTGAAAAATATACCAGATATTTCGCGTTCTTCGCCACTACTTCATGTCGAACTTGATGAGAATATTAGCGTCTTTTTTGTCACGATTTAATAGCAAAAAACAAACACGACTAATTTGTTTGCTATTTAACTGCTGAGGAAAATTTTCTGGATAATTGATGATAGTCACAGCTTCCTTGTTTCTATTTTACGGCAAATTTAAATCACAAATCGTACTTGGGGATTGGAATACCGCATAGGCATTCTTATAATGAAATAAAAGGAGTTTAAAATGCACACGAAAGATACTGTCCACAACATTGAATTCAGTCAACAACTCCAAGTTAAATGTAACACATAGACTATGTAATTGACATGAGACGTGCAATCAAATGTCTACAGCTTCAATCCAAAGATTCGCCTAAAACGGGACCAAAAATGTGTTTCTAACTTCGCGCAAGGTAAGCATGAAATGGGTTAAAGATACCGGTGTTACCACTTGAAGTAGTTGGCGAGAGAGAGGAGATGCTTGAGTGATATCAAAGCACCAAGATAAAACCTGGGGACGATGAGGCGGGCCTGACTGATAAGTATCAGAAAGTCTCATGCGTCTCCAGCAGTGCAGAGTGTCTCTGCCTCGTTTTCTCACCTTGTAATCTCGCTAGAAAAATCTCCGCTCTTCAGTTTCTTGTTAATTTCTTCTATCTTAACGTGAACTAAGGGTTGCAAAATTGTTTGTTACTGGGGTCAGCTGCTTTGGGTAGCAGACAGATATTCGTTAAAAAACGGATAATTGGTTAAATGAGAGGTTGTTAATTGGGTTACTTGTTAGGTGTTAGGAGTTAGTCAGTGAAATAAAATCCCAAACATATCAACCTTAACCAACAGATACATCTTCAAAAAAACTTCATAAAATGTACTCACTGAGGTATAGTCGTTGTTGTTCGTCTGTAAGATTTGGTGGTAGCGTCACTGGCATTCCAGGTATAAACTCCAAATCATCTTGAGCGCCCCATCTTGACCTTCTCTTTCGTTTTGGTTTGTCGTCAGCTCCCAAGGCTACGGATTCTCCCTCCTTTGAATTACTTCTGTTACGGCTCCTGTCCCTGCTCTTCTCGTTGCTCCTTCTGCCCTTCTTGCGGTCACGTGATCTCCGTGACCTGGACCGGGATCTGATGATTATACCCGATTATAATATAATAAAGTGATATGCCTTGCTGAATGCTGGTACCGAGTTATGACCCTTTTAAGATATTGCAGATACGTGATCTTGGCACTTAATCAGTGATTTCGTCACCCAATCAGTAATCAAATCGGCAGCTATTCGCTAGCGAGCAACAATGAGACTCATTAGGCGGTAACGAGCATGTTGGTGGATGACGATCTGATCACTTTGAGTGAATATTGATAGTGACGTTTCTTAAAACCGAAGAAATTTGCGTTATAGCGCTTCGGTTGCTGTCCTATAAGCAGTCTTCAACCAATCAGGGCATTGATTGAGTGAAGATATCACTGATTAAGTGCTGGATCACGTATCTGCAAGATCTTAAAAGGGTCATAACTCGGTTAAATTGTAAACAACCAACTTGGAATTTTGGGAAAGCAATTCAATTAGCAAACCAAATATATCTAGAAACTTTGAAGTTCCTAGCTGAAAGCGTTCTCACTTTATGGTGACAATAGCGAAAAAGAGGGAGTGGCGTGCCACACCCACTGTAATTAATAAAATTTGACGAAACTTTCAGGAAATCTAAGTTTGACCCATATCTATAATCTCTGAAATTTCTGTGCAATTCTAAGAAGAATTACGTGAGTTATTGAAGGGTTGCGTGTGGGCAGTTACTTTTGGACCACCCTGTATCATTAAATTTATTCTTGAGTAGATACCCTCTAGGTGTTTTACCTGCTGCGCCGACCCCGTCTGCTTCTATCACGACTACGGCTCCTCCTACCACTGCGCTCCCTACTCTTCTCCCGTCTGCCACGTGATCGAGATCTGCTCTTGTTGCGCATTCTTGAAGGCTCCCAAGAACCTGGGTCTTTTGGAGGTGAGTTGCCAGAGCTCTGTTTCTGGGCAGCTTGAGGTGGCCACTGTGCTGGGGGCTGAGCCTGTTGGGGTTGTGGAGACATGTTTGCGAGATGGGGCAGCAGCATCGACCCTGAGTATTGACTTCATTGAGAATCAATGTGAAACATTTAAAAGACAGTTATATGGTCAATATTTAGGAAAATCAATGTACAATACTGGTAAAATGACAACTTTGACACTTTAGTGAGTTGAAGAGCTCTTTAAGGGATCAAAAAGTCCCGTTATTGCGTTTCAACAAAGCAATTTCTATCAGGAGAGTTCCACACACGTAGACTGGTGAATTTTGAACTTTTAAGTTTCAATTACCGGCTGAAATTAGATTCAGATCAGTAAATAGCTGACTTGAATGCAAATCAACAATATTAAACATGAAAAATAGTAAAAAGTACTGAAGGGTACACCAAGAATTCATGATTGATTTAGAAATGTGAGCAAAAACTCACCTTCAGATGGTCTCGGTCCCTGGCCCATGAAGGCTGGATTAAGGGATCCAAGGGGGGTGGTATTAGCACCTGTTGCCTGCCGTCCACTAGGCATGACTGCTACAAATGTATTGAGTTAATTAATTGCTAGATAAATTGGGATGGCTAGCTCAGTCAGGTCCTGCTACTAAAAAATATTATAAAGGAGCCTAGAATTAACTGCCCACCCCACAGCCAGAAACCATAGCAGACTAGCAGATAATCTGCAAGGAAATTTTCGATTTCGGAGGAAATTTTTGGTGCCAAAGAGGAAATTTATAAAGTCTACGATCTGAATTTTGAAACATTTTACCATGAATTTTCTGGGGTAAAGAGGAGATTTTCTAAAAACAATCCAAAATTGTTGACAAATGAAAGAGGAAAAAACTAACAGTTCTTTGAATCGTTCTTGAAACTGTGTTTGAAAATGATCTCTATTGCCAAATTGCTTGTAGGCCTTCTGTGTGGACAAAATGATCAAGAATTTTTGCCTGCGGCAAACATATCTTCAATTCCTGTCTGTGTGAAAGTTTAAGTTGTATACATACATGTTACATGGTAAGGTCTCCTCCTAGTCGTTGGAGTGGCCTGCATCACACACATCGCGTTGGCGGCGTAACATATGTCTCCACTGTACTCGGTTGGTAGCCAAAGCTTCTGTTGTGTCGTTGTCGATGTTTTCAACACCTGTAAACTTAGCAGCATCTTCGAGTACGCAGGACTTCCAGTTCTTACGGGGTCTGCCCCTTGACCTCTTTCCATAGTTTGGCTTCCAGTTCAACAGAAACCTCGGTAGTCTAGAGTCTGGCATTCTAACTACATGTCAATACCAACGTAGCCTGGCAGCACTGATGAAAGTCTCAACTGACTTGATGCCAGCCCTCCTAAGAACTTCGTCGTTGGTTACATGAAAGAACCATTTAATCCTAAGGATCCTTCTCAAGGAGGTTTGATGGAAAACCTCGAAACGTTTCATCTGCTTTTTGGTGGTGTTCCAGACTTCAGCTCCATACAACAAGATGGTGAGGACAGCAGCCCTATAGATCCTGATCTTGGTTGGAGTCTTTATAGTTCTGCTATTCCAAATGTTCCAGAGCTGATGAAAGGCGCCATTAGCCTTCTGGATACGGACATCCAGGTCTCTGTTGATTGTCCCATCCCCACTAATAGTTGCACCCAGGTAGACAAAGTTGCTAACCTGCTCGACGGGTTCACCCTCAACCGACAGCTCAATACAATCATCCTTGATGAAAGGTCGCTGGGAGGCGCACTTGCTTACAGCCATGCATTGGGTCTTCTTTGCATTTATTCTGAGCCCAGCGTAGGAGCTGTAATGAACTAATAGATCAGTTGATTCCTGTAGGCCTTCCCCTGAGTTGTCCATAATAGCCATGTCATCAGCATAATCGGTGTCCAGAATGACCTTTTCCTCGACCGTCTTCATCTCTTTCTGCAGCACTGCGCCTTGACTGATGATCTTGTTGGTCTCAGCCAGAAATGCAGAAAAGTTTAGGCAGAAATTAAAGACAGGAGGTGCTTGAATGTCACCCTGACCTGTGCCTGAGTTAACATCAAACCAGTCTGTCAGCTCCCCATTAACCCTCACGGCACTCATGGTACCCCCAAAAAATGACTGAAATATTCTGACATATTTTTCAGGCAGCCCATAGTGTCTCATACTGCACCAAATAAAGTCCCTTCTGATAGAATCGAACGCTGCCTTGAAATCCACAAAATTAATGTAAAGAGGAATGTTAAACTCAAGACAGTTATGAATAATAGTTCGGAGAGAATAAATCTGATCAATACATGAGCGGTTCTGTCTAAATCCGCACTGATTCTCCCTGAGGAGACACTCCATACCAGCATGTAACCGCTTAAGAAGAATCATCTGAAAAAGCTTGGATGCTGTAGACCTTAAGGTGATCCCTCTGTTGTTCCCGCAGACTGAAGTGTCTCCTTTCTTCCCAATAACAATGATCACACCCTTTAACCAATCTTCAGGAACAGTCTCTTCTTCCCACACTTTCTTGAATAGACACTCTAGTTGATCAACTAGAGCACTCGCACCATACTTCAGTTGCTCGTTAGTTATCCCGTCCACTCCTGGGCTTTTGTTGTTCTTAAGCTTTGTCAGGGAATAACTAATCTCGTCTCTGGTGGGTGGTCCATCCGAACAAGAGAGAGAGTTAAAGTGGGGTTGGGGTGGTACTGTATTAAGTTGTATGCACTCTACATTTCTCAGGATATGGTTGCCTTTACTCTGCAAGGCAAATATAATAATTTGTGATAAATACGACAGATGGTGCAAGCTTGCCATGTTTTACTTGTGTGTTGTTATTATAGGAGAACGCCATTTTGTAATACACTATTTTGAAGGACTTCAGATATTTTGTTATTGTAGATTTTAATGTGGCCAAGCGAAAACGCAAAAAATTTTTCTGGGGCCTAGCTCCAAATGCTTGAGACTGTCTAGCTTCACTTGCCGACATTGAAATAGTGGAAAATTGGAGAGCGGAGCGAGCGGGCCACAGAAAACAGAAAATGTGTATCTGCGAGGAAATTTTTAACTTTCTGGATGTGGGCTGCCCACACATTATGAGACCCTTGCATTACAGACGTTATTCATGTCAGAGTTGCACTGAAATTGCATGTAATTGATATGGGAGGGGGAGGGGTGTTCCAATTTGATCGAAAGTAAGAAGAAATGACAATGTGATGTCATTTATCAGACACAGACTGCAATTCGATTTGCTCAGAACTTGTATAATTTCTACGGGTAACAGAGGTGCCAGAATCCTTCCACCCACGACAATATGTGATTTGGACCTTCACCTGATCATCACTCTTACATCTTAAAAGGACAGGAAGTGCTTGTTGGGTGAGGGTCTGAACTGTTTGTTGCAGTAATGTGAGCATTTAAATTAAACTGTAACATATATTGAAATTGTTTCTTCAACCACTGCGCCCCTATGTGCGGTGTTTCTTTCAACCTGATTCCTGAAGTTTTTTTCGTTTGATTTATTGCTCATGATTTATTTATTGTTTCTTTCATATGGTGGAATTTTTAAAACTGTACCAATTCATTTAATACAGGAAAGACAACATTTTGGAAAGACAAAGACATAGGGGGTTTTATTCTACCCTTGTTTTTAAAATTTTTTCCCGATCTATGACTTGAAGTGCCGAAGGCACAAAAGAGTCAAGGACAAGGGTTAGTGAACAAGTTTTTTTTGTATATGGTAGCTTGCGACCGTGCGACCGACCGTACGTGCCCTCGCCCCCAGTTATCGCCCATGTTTCTGCCTGCGCAAAGTTATTTTGCGCGATAATCTGAATTAAATTGTTGGCGCGCGGTGCTGAACTGTTAAAGTACATTGTTAATTTCACCATGTACGCATCCCTCTAAGGACTAATTGATATAGATAGCATATTATTATGAGTTAGTATTACTATTTTGCATAGATCCGTGTCAGGTTGCATATACAATAAACATATGGTTACATAGAAATATACACGATTTTCAAATTCAATATAGAATTATATATTAACTGGGCGGCGCTCGGCCTCTCACTCCGCCATATCGCATGTTTATAAACAGTTAAGACAGGGGTCCCCAGGTGGTATGGAATATGATAAAATACGCCATCGCGGATCGGGAAATTGAGCGGCCATCCACAAAAGAAAAGCGGCCGCATTTCTTGTTGTTTTACTTTTTGGGGGTATCCAACCTTATAGCTAGACAATTACCATTGTTGAAATAATCTGTGTATATTGGTTGAATAAACTACTCTGAGAAAAAAATAGCTACAAGATATATAATACAGAATCAGATAACAGATAAATTAATGTTGATCCATGTACTCAAATTACACACACGCAGCTAACACAAGGAAAAGATTTGGGGCAAAATTTGAGTTTCATTTCCCTCTGACATACACAAAGAGTAAAGACTATATCAGATCATGGAGGGCCTGAGTTAATGAACTGAAGTAATAGATCTAAAAGATAAGAAAGCGAACACATTTAAAATCTTTAACCAAATACATACACTCGAAACAGCTAAATCGATGGATAAAAGTCGTTTAAAGTGCATTCAAATGATGTGTATTATATGTATTGTATTAAAAAACAAAACTTGTCTCACTCAATTTTACGTTGTAAAAAAGAGTTGGAAATGTTGATAATAAACAATATGTTAAATTTTAGGTGCATTGCGAATTTATAGCATTATTCAATGAAACAAGAAATTTGTTTCAATGAAACAAGAAATTTAATTTTTAGCACATTTTACAGAACAAAAGGATGTTAAACAATCTATAAAAATATAATGCTCATTTGGTGTATTATATGACTTTCTGTCCTTGACTGTTAGTTTGATTTTGAAGGGACAGGTAACTAACGGGGCAAAGATGGTAGTCTTTTACTTGGTGTGCCATTTTATTCCTTCCGTGCTCAATTTTCTCCTAACTCAACAAATTCACCAAAAAAAGTGGTACATTATTTGATGCAATTTTCAAAAAATCGTGTTATATATATATATAACTCTAAAACTCTGGTCACAAGAGCAACTGCCTAAACGTGAAGAAGTGAAAACAAATACATAAAATACTAGCAATCCTTTAAATTCGCAATAAATAAGTTCGTTCAATGTCATATTATAATTCTTAAAACCGCATATATGAGACCAGTAAATAATTTAATTGGTCTATAGACTACTGTTTAAAAATCTCAATATAAACTTTTTAACAATAATAAATTAATTAAAAACACACAACAACCTTTGGTGTGTAAGAATGATTAAACAGCCTCATTTTGACACAAAATATCTTCATAATATTATAGTATATGCTATATAATAATATTAGAACTGTTTAGTTGAGTTCAGGTAACAGAATTTAACTGTAATAGAACCTCTGCTGTGTTATCCACTGTTGAGATGTAGCCATATTTTCGTCCGGTCTAACATTGACCCCGGATCGTGTTAAGTAAAGGAAAATGTATGATCCGTCACATCATCACACATGTGAACAAGATATCAACGCACCATGTGAAAAAATATATAGTAAATAATTCCCGACCAACATTGTCATG